CCATGAAGGATTAGTTCACAGTGAAACACCACCTGTAACTCTGTGTGATGCACTGCTGAGTGTTCCATCAAATGTCTCACATGTCTAATACATGTCAAGAAACAAGATTTTAGAAGAAAATTCTCAGAAGAGAAACATCCCATCTGAACAAGCCAAGTTTTCCGTTTTGCACAGTCTGCTTTTCGGTAGCAGGGGGGCTCCGGAGCTGGCTGCTGCTCGAAGCTGCCAGATGTCCAGCAGAGCCAAGCCCTGATGGCTCTGAGGATGGACATGCTGCTGGCCAAGTAGAGGTGGTGGTAACACCTCTGTGATAACATATTTAAGAAGAAAACCAAAACAAAGTGGGGCATGCACAGCTTTTCCTAGACAAAGAAGAGGACATGTGAAGGAAAAAACCTGGAGACACCAGGGCCAGTGGGGAAGGAGGGAGAGGAGGTGCTCCAGGTGCTGGAGCCAGGACTCCTCTGCAGGCCATGGTGAGACCATGGGGAAGCAGCTGTGCCCCTGCAGCCCCTGGGGATCCACAGGGGATGCAGAGATCCACCCACAGCCCATGGGGATCCCTGGGGGATGCAGAGATCCACCCCCAGCCCATGGGGATCCCTGGGGGATGCAGAGATCCACCCCCAGCCCATGGGGATCCCTGGGGGATGCAGAGATCCACCCCCAGCCCATGGGGATCCCTGGGGGATGCAGAGATCCACCCCCAGCCCATGGGGATCCCTGGGGGATGCAGAGATCCACCCCCAGCCCATGGGGATCCACGGGGGATGCAGAGATCCACCCACAGCCTGTGAGGGAGGTGCCCATGCAGGTGGATGCCTGGAGGAGGCTGTGAGCCAGTGGGAGACCCAGAGGAGAGAGGGCCCTGCTTCCAGGCTAGAGCAGCCTGTCTTTGGAGGACTGCACCCTGTGGGAAGAGAAACCCATGCCACAGCAGTTTTGGAAGGAGTGCTGCTTGTGAAATTGGAACCACATTGGAGAAGTTCACGAAGAACTGTCTCTCCCATGGGAGGGACCCCATGGTCTCACAGGGGCAGGACTCCTCTCCCTGAGCAGCAGAAATGATCTCCCAAACCCTCTTGCCCTGTCTCCCTGCGCTGTTGCTGCGAAGGATGGAAGGGTTAGGGGCAAAAAAGGTGGTTTAAGGACTTACTTTGCTTCTCATTATTGTCCTCTGATTTAGTTAGTAACAAATTCAATTTGTATCTCTAAGCCGGAGGGACCCCATGGTCTCACAGGGGCAGGACTCCTCTCCCTGAGCAGCAGAAATGATCTCGGGTGATGAACTGCCCCAAATCCTCTTGCCCTGTCTCCCTGCACTGTTGGTGCGAAGGATGGAAGGGTTAGGGGCAAAAAAGGTGGTTAAAGGACTTACTTTACTTCTCATTATCGTCCTCTAATTTAGTTAGTAACAAATTCACTTTGTATCTCTAAGCCAAGTCTGGTTTGCCCTTGGAGTGCTGAGCTGCTGCTAGAAATCCTCTACTCGCCAGGGCTGGGGAGGAGACCGCGCCGGCCGAGCCGAGGCACGGCAGCCAGCAGCAGGGGCACTTCCCAAACGTGCCAGGGGCATCCGGGGAGCGCCTCGACAGGAAGCAGCGGTGATCAGCGCGGAAGGCGAAGGAATGAAGAAAAGAGGGACTCCTCTTGGGGGTGAAATCCAGAGCTTTTACTACCTCCAGGAGAGCCAGCCGAGAGAAGACCGGGAGCAAGGGGATACAATAGTATATAAAGGGGGTGAACAGTTGGGTGGGGACAATACAACAACCAATGAGGGAGAACTTAGGAGCGAGCATACTCATGAGGGCACACCGGCTAGCTAATTAGGGATGTAATAGGGAGGGGCTGTGTTTCTGGTCCAATCACCCACTGAATGGAGGAGAACTTTCTGGAATAAGAGGAGGAGTCAGTGGGTGATGGACAGGAGCTCAGGGAGTGGTTAACAGAAAAATCCATGGCAACAGGGGAGGAGACAACAAACAGACAGCTCTGTACCTGGGGAGGGACTAACCGGGGAGGGAGGAGGATCCCAAGACCGAACCACTTTAATAATTGGGGGAAACGAACATACCAACTCCAGCAAAACCAAACAACACACTGCAACACTGGAGTGTTCTCTCCCAGTCCTTACCTCAACTCATGAAGCCTTCATTAAATTTTCTTTCTCTTCTGCCCAGCTGTGGCAGGGGAGGGCAAGTAAGTGACTTTTTTGGGTGCCTGGCGTCTGGCCAGTGTCAAACCACCATGTAAGTTTATTGAGTTAATGAACTGATTAAAATTACATGGTTTTGGAAACAAGGCTGGGGTCTGAACACAGGATCCCATTTTGAGAGAGATGGAGAAGATCCAAGTCCTCCAGCCAAAGCTGGCAGCAGTGCTCTCAGCAAGGCCCCGCTGCTGTGGAGTGGGAACAGCAACACAGGACTTCAGAGGATGGGTTTCAGTCAAGGCTGTTGTAGTGTTGGAGGCTAAGAGTTTCTTAGGCAAATGGACTGTCCTCTTTTTGGCACTGCTCCACCCAAAACTAGTACTAAAACCTCTCAGGATATAAGAGCAGATGGAAGGAATGCCACCCTAATCTTTGTTCAAAATGAAATTTTTGATTTTTTGGTAGTTTAAATTTCAGCTTAATTCATTACAGAGCCAAGGGAGGCCTTTGTTTTGTCACTGATAGCACAGAGCTGTTACACAGTCACAGAAATGAGAGCCTGCCCTCTTCCTTGGCTGTGGGTCACTGACGGGACACACACGAAAAGAAACAAAGAAGAGGTTCAAATTTTATATGTGGAAAAATTCAACTCCCAAGAGAAAAACACTGGCCAGCAACTGCATCACAGAGACACTGGACCTCAGCTGGTGGGTATGCTGTGAGAAAAGCCAGGGTGCCATATCCCAGGGATGCCCAGTTCCACCATGGACACCCTGAATCCTACACTACTTGGATCTTGGATGCAAAATTCCCATTTAAGAGAAAGGAGCCAGTCCACTGCACAGGACAGGCTTTTAAAGTTCAGTAAAACATGGGAAATAAATACTTGTCTGCTCCTTCGTCATCACAAACCTTCCCTGCTGGCACAAAAACTACTCAGAGCTCTTGTAAATTATTGTAATTTAATTTATTCATTCATTTATTTATTAGTACAGCCACAGCTTTTTAGGGCCTATCTCATGTACTACTAGTTTGAAAATTAATGAGATTTTTATACATGGTCAACATCTTAAAAGTCTGCTAACTGTTAGGACTGTAGGTAATTTCTTAATATTGAATTGATATTTGGAAGGTAAAAATACTGGTGTAATTATTTTATCAGACTAATTTCTCTCAACTGGATGTAACCCAAAATGTCTGAAACCAAAGAGCCTTCAGCACTGAGTGCCAACCCATCAGCAGTACTGCCCACCCAGCAGCAAAATTCACAATGCCCACCGTGTAAAAACTCCAGTCCTTTCAGCAAAACACTTTCACTTAGTTTTTCTTTCAGCTCCTGCATACAGAGTTTCAGTAGAGCCACTCTGCTGTTACACACCTGACAAGGCAATACCCTGGAATTATTTATTTTCCCAGTTCCCTTGCTGTGACACTGCCCTGATTTTGAGTGAGCACTAACAGCAGCAATAGACAGCTGGGCAGGCAGCTGTGCTGGAAGTGCCTCCTCAAGAGAGCAAAGAAGGGATGAACCATCCTGCTTCTTCAGAAGGGGAAGTCAGGCCAGCTGAAACCTGGGGAAAGCTGCATTATGTCATTTCCCCATTCTGAACACGTCCAGAAGCAAGTGTGAAACCTGGTCCTGAACTACTGCTGGAGGTTCATTGGCTCAGCATGTCTGCTCAAGTGAGCAGCAGGTAAATGTGCTGGTGGTTACAATGTGGGCAGTGCCCACGTGGCTGGGTTAACAGGTAGGTTCAGCAGGTGGACTCATTCCACGGGGCTGGGAATGGCTGGCTGCTGAGGCAGGAAGGCAGCAAGGCACCAGTCACCACCAGCTCCTCTCCAGAGAGAAGGAAGGTAGGACCAGGACGAGCTTTTTCAAAATGCCTCAGCATGGAGCTGCCCCTGCTGACATCACCAGCACAAGGTCCCAGTATTCAAGTGGGAGCACCTAGATCTGCATGTTGTGAAACACAAGCAGATGTCCTATAGGGTCTCCCTTATCTCCATAATGACAAAAATGTGCTGCTCTGAATTTACCTGCTGAATTTCAGGTTGCTCCCATGGAACAGAAACTGCACACAATTGAATTTAAGGCTACAAAATTTTCCTTGAAGGTCCAATCACCTCCCCCACCCAGAGCTGGATTGCAGACTGGACCTTACTTCTCTGCTGGCAGGATATAACCAAGCTGCAGCATGTTCTACCTGCCTACAGAATTACTGCTAGGACTTGATTTGCTGTAAAAGACATAACTGCATGGACAGTCTTGAAAAACATCAGAAAGGTCTTTATTTCTTCATCAGGGAACATAATTTACCATTTGTGCATAATGCAATCATCTCAAATTCAAGCCAGTAAAATAGAAACCTTTGCAAATAATCTGCATTTTTTAGAGATTATCATACAGACAGAACTGTACATCTCCTATGGTTTATGAAATTTGACCAAAAAAAATGTTTTTACATGTTGTGGCCCATAACCAGGACCACAGGGGACTTAATTTAATTATTATATTCACAGAATATTCAGAGTTTTTGACATAATAGGACTTAGAGCAGGTTGTAGCAAGTTTCCATAACCAGTTCTAGGTGAACAGAAGAGCTTCCCCACAGCCTTCAGCAGAAAAGCTCTCACACAAGCCCACACAACTACTGCCTATGGCAGGACTGTAAGACCAAACCCATCATATGTAAACTGTGTGATACTCTGATATAACATGTACTTACTACCTTGAATTAACAGAACAAACTATGATGAGGTTTAATTTCAGTTGGTTCCTAATCCACACAGTGGAATATTGACCATTTCACAGTCTACCTCATTAATGCACACTAACCATCAAGTGGATAATTTAATCTTTTATTTAGGAAAAACATATTAATTGTAATAGATATAATAGGAAAAAATAACTCAAATATACAGATACTGTTGTCCAATGAGACATTAATAGCTGAAAATTAATGTAGAGGATTTTTTCTTCAAAGTAAACAAACTGAACTCTTTGCAGGAATTTTTCATTACAAAAGTTAGGATGCATTCAGGTACAGTGAAATTCAGCTTTATTGGAAAGTACAGACAGCCTGAGCTAAGTCCCTGTTGATTATAATCCCTGCCATCTCCCCAGCACCGCTGCATCAAATTTATTCGTTAAAATATATTCCAAAGTAAACTCAGACAATCCAAATCTACAGTCATTATTAGGTCAATTCACAGAACTGCTGAAAAAGTAGACATTTTATATAATAGTACAAAAGGGTTTGTATAGAAGATACTTCTCTTATACAGTTATATTACACAGCTCTAGACAGGCCGAGCAGGCTCCTCTCAGAAGGGGCAGCTTCTGACAAGGTAAGAGAAATTAAAAAAATTAAGTTAGCTTCATTGAAGCCTCGTGCCTTATTACAACTATGAGCAGTTTGTATTCTGTTTTCCTGTTCTTCAGGCCTAGGTTCAGCAAGCATGCAGAAACTGAATATTGCTCTCAATAAATATGAGATTAAAAGTGTGCTCTAGTGGTCTCTTGTCAGAATTTAGAACAAATATTTATTTTAGTATAAATTCAGCAGATGGCCTAAAGCATCCAAAACTCTGAACTCCTTCAGGATCAAATTGTGCAGCCATTGCTCAGACAACATTTTTGTGACCTTTAATAGACAAGTGAGATGGTTTTTTATATCTCACTGCCTGCAGTGTGTCCCATGACGAATCAGTTTGTCCTTTAGTATATTTTATCCTGCCAGTTTGATGACAAGTACCTCCAACACAGACTTCACTGCCTGAACAAGAGCACCACTGCTGTGCCTGTAGTGCCCAGGGCACAGTTGGGATGCTGCTTTGTCAGCTCCTGCAGCTTTCCACCACATCACTTCATTGTCCTGGGCTGTGTTCATGCTGTACCAGTGGAGGGCCAAGGCTGGCCCTGGGCTCCAAAAACTGAAATGGTGCCAGGAAAGAAACCCACAGGCTCCCCTAGCCAATGCTTCATTTAACTTTACACCAATCAAACACTGCATAGTGAGGAAGATACTTGAGGTTCAGTATTACCAAAAAACTGAAATGGGAAGAAGTACTCCCACGTTCTTTGTACGAAGCACAGAGACTCCAAACCACGTGGGTCGGAATTTTGGATTTGGTGATATGATAGCATTGCTAACATTGCTCTCCACCACCACAAAAACATAATTTTTAGGAACAAGTGACGTTAAAAATAGAGTAAGAGAAAAATTTGGACATTTGTAATTGGCATTGTAAATTAAACTAGGCTTTTCATAAAAGTTTAATTTATGAAAAGAAAATAAAGAAAACTTTTGAAGGAGGTTAGTTTGTCATCACAGTTAATAGCTTTACTGAGTGTCCCAAGCTCAGACAATATTGCAATCACAGTGAAGAGCTTTCCTGCTCAATTACAATTTGGAGATTTCACACAACTGTGTCAGAGCTGTTCATAAACACTAATTCCCTCAACTTTCACTTGTTCTGCTTCTGAAGTTTCTGATTACCATCACACATTTTAGGCCACATTTTTCTAGGACTTCCTCACAAATTTGAACAATGTGCTTTATATTGTATTTGGATAAGAAAGTGCAAAACATCTGACATCTTATATGTGGGAACTGAGACACATGGAATAATTCCCAACTAAAGTACTGGCACCTTCTGACATTCAGTATTACACTTCATCTCTCCTTTCCCCAGCAAAAAATATAAAAATATTATTCCTTGACCGGTGTTGACTTCAAGAAACACTAAATTATTTTACCCAGTATGGATGAGGTCTATGACGTCAGGTCTGGTTCATGCTTTAGCTGAAACTTTTCTTCTGTTTCTGTGTTATCTGTTAAAAAAGTAGTAGTGAATGAAAAAAGTGGAACTTCCCCACCAATTTTGTTACTGTTGTACTTAAGTAAAAATTCATAAAAATATGAAAAGCATTCATTATCTCTTTAAACTAATAATAACAAATAAAAGCATATTCACAGCAATCTGATTCTGTGAAAATTACCATTTCCACTGCAATGTAAAGCACCTTAGGATCTTAGAGCACTCTAGTTCTTAATGAATGGAAATAAAATTGGCATTAGTAGCACTGCTTCTCTCTCAACTAGATACAGACTTCTGCATTGTTCTATTTCAGTCTGTCCAAAATAAATTTTAACCCTAGCTAATTTTCAAAGTACAGTATCACACAGGAAAGCAGTATGATATGTTTTTTTTTAAAATCATGTTGGCTAAAGCATTCATCACCTTTTGATACAGTTTTATTCATTGCAGGGATGCTTGGAGGTAAATCAAAGGAATCTCATGTCTGTGTAGCACTGTCCATATGACCCAGAGCCTGGTTCTGTTCTTTTTACAGACAATATGATGTTGGAAGGAAATTGGTTTCCCCTGAAGTTGTTTGGAAGGTTTGGTGTGAGAGTAATTCATCACTACAAAGCCAGGCTGTTTCACCACATGATCATTTTATACCTTCCAGCCTAGTTCTGAGGTGATTTTTGCCACTGCATGCCTTTTCACAAAACCATTTCTGTAGTTACAGTGTCTGAAGCCAGTTTTGGATGACAAATTCATAACTCTGCTTTTCTGTCTCTTCCAAACCATCACACTGAAGGCCCACAGCTGATTCTCTTCCACATGACAGTATTCAGGAACAAGTGTCTTTCTCTTGCACCATCTAGCTTCAACAATCCCATCGAGTTTTGGCATGATAAAGATATCTGATGTTCCAGCCTTCAAAACTATGAGCTTAAAATCTGCAGCTAACATTTGTGACTCTAACATTTGCCTTCTTCCTGTCTAACTGCTGCAACAGGGTCAGTCTATACTCCAAGAAAGACTGACTTAAAACCCTTGGAGTGAACCTGTAACTCAGCCTGTAACACTCATTCTGGTTGAGAATGTTCTCTTGGCTTAGAGTTCAATGACATGACAGGGGGAGTGAAGCAATGGAGCCTGGAAAGGGAATTTCCATGAAAAAGGCAGGAGAAGAACAGGAGCACAGAGATTTGCTGCTTTCTCTTTTGGTGCAATGTAAGCAGGATTAGGGAATGAGCCAAAGTTGAGAGTCTCAAGATGAAAAGTGCTGATGCACAGCAGCTGCCATCCCAGGGCTGCTGGCTGCCACAGACACATCAGCAAACCCTTCCTGGGACCACCTGACACAAAGGCAGCACCCCAGCAAACTACAGAGCCCCCTGGGTGACCTTGGAGCCACGGCAGAGACAGCTGTGGCCTTGCAGGGGCTGCTGACAGGCTGGGGTGAGGCAAAGGCAGCATTTACAGGAGCACAGCACACAGCAACAGCCCAACTCTCAGGTCAGTCCAGTATTTCTGATTCACCAAGACCATGTGCAAAAACACGTGGGGGATACAAAACCTACAGCTCCCTTACATTTATCTATGGACTAGAAAACACTTCTTCACCCAAAGGGTTGTCAAGGCCTGGCAGAGGCTGCCCAGGGCAGTGCTGGAGTCACTGAGACTGAGGCATTTAAAAGCTGTGTAGATGTGGCACTTGCATGTTTGGTGGTGAGCTTGGCAGTACTGGGGCAACATTTTGACTTGATGCTTTTAGAAGGCTTTTCCAAACTAAATGATTCTGTGATTCTTATCTGAAAAGGATACAGTTCAAGTATATTCTTGGACAATAGGAAAGTTGGATGTTTTCCAGAGTTTAAGTGCTAGAAGAACACCAATGCTCCACTCCCTTGCCCCCAGCACAGTGTATCCAGGCCAATATGGCATTCAGAGTTCCTGATGATGGCAATCACTCACTTGCATCAATTGTGGAAACTACTGCACTGAATAACTAGATGCATCACTCAGGATATGAAGTCACTCAGAGCCTATGTATAGGCATGACTCACCTAAGTTATTGGTGAATTTGCAGAACTCCTTTGTCAAATTATTTAAATAGTAATTTTTGCTGCTAAGTATTTTTCACATGATGCAGCATGATATTACTATAAATGAAGAAATGTACCAGGAACCAATAAAAGACCTTTTCTTGGTTTTGATTGACCTGACTTTAAAAACAGATGCAACTTTGTTCAGCATTACTTAAAAATATTTCTTGATAGTAACTGAAGACACTTACCTCCTAGAGATACTTCTATATGGCTTGGTTCAGCTGGCTCTTAAATGAAAAAAAAGACAGTCAAATGAATATGAATATCGTTTCAACAAGATGAATCAGATTAGGGAAATTAAGTTTTCCCTCAAAAAAAGCACCTAATTTTTCTTAAACAATCAGACTCATATCTCTTTGACTGAGATAAATTTGTGCAGCTTTCTATAGTCTGCAACAAAATAGAAAATATCCCCAAACATTTATTACATTCAGCTATGTAACACTTTCTCTTCTAAGAATGATTCACTGTGGCAGAGATATCACCAAGTCCCAGAACAACATCATGTGCATTTGCACAGGATCCACCACATTTGGAACAGCTTAAAGAAAGAGCCACCACTTCTCCCAAGCACTGTCTTTGATGGCAAGTATGTGTACTTGGGGCAGAGTGGGGAGGTGCACAACAGAGGACAAGAAGTAGGCTTTAATTCCATGCTGAGTTTGCTACTGTGTCTGCAGGGATTGCAGATGAACATGCTCTGGGAAAAACATTTTAACACTGCAGATGTTAAGGACCAACAGACTACAGCAAGCTCACAAACCACCAGCAGCTGATCTCCTCCCTCCCACACCTCCACATGGAAACAGAGGAACCAGAAGTTTTCTCGACAATAATTTTCATCATAAAAGTGTCCCTTACTCTTAAAATGTTTATCAGATGTTTTCTCTTAGTTTCCCAGCTTCTTTGTGTAATGATTCATTCAGTCAATTGCAGAAGCTTTCCCCACACTACACCAACTTAGCATACACAATTTTAAAAGGTATATGGACATTTAAAGCTGTATTGGATCAAAGCTAAGTTGCCCAACCATTGGGCAGGAAAATTAACATTTCCTTTCCTTAACATTAACTAAAGGAAATTAACATTTCCTTTAGTTAATTCACAGCCCAAAGCGAGTTCTCTGCTCAGACTAAGACAGGTGATGTGTGTGCATTCCCAGATGCAGTCTAGCAGGGGTTACAGAGCTTGGCAGCAGGCAGAAACTCCACCTAGACCCCTCTGCCAGCTATGCAGGCAAACTTCACTTGGCTGTACATGCAGACATGCACACATTTGAGTTAAGCAGACATTAATAAATGGATGCTGAATTGCCTTTACACATTGCCCCCACTAATCCTTCTTTCCAGCTCACTCATCATCTGTAAAAATCAAATCAAGGAACACACCAATGACACAGCTTGAAGAAAGTAGAGGCACTTTCCACTAATGTTTAACAGCTATTAAAGTTATTTAAAGTTTAACAGTTACTGAAGTTAACAGCTATTCATTTCTCAATATGAAATGGCTCATCATGAGCACTCTATACCTAGGACATGACTGTAAGGATATCTGCCAGTGAGATGCAGAAGTGCACACCCCACCCCTCCTGCAAGGACACGTGTCACACTGCATCACCTGGTAGTACTGCTGTGCTAGTGGCTGCTGCTGGTGCTTCTGCTTCAGCTTCTTCTAGCAGCTCTAAGATTAAACATGAACATTGTTTTACTTCACAATGAAAATGGTTCACATGCAACACAAGAAAAATGTTTGAATCTGCAAATACTGAAACTTCTCACATGAACAGGTCACCAACACTGTGACTGAGATGCAGTTCAATCTTATCTGTTACAAGAAAAACATTCCCAGTCTTGCCTTCAAGCAGCAAAACTTTAAAGTTTCCACATGTTCTTTATATGAAGAATAAATAATAAATAATACTTATAAGCAGTTGGCTCAGAGCCTTTCAATCATTCACCTTGGTATCCATCAGTATAAGATAATTTTGATGACAATTAGTGGACACAGATAATGCCCACACCTCATGTGGTCCATGGCCAATCTGCTCCCCCAGTCCCAATACACATTGACAACTTAGGCTGAACTGACAACAGCTCAATGGATTCTTTCTTTTCTGCCTGAATTCTCTGGAAATACTATTACACATTTACTTGCCTGGAAGGCTCTCCCTTGCAGAGAGACCCCTCTGCCACCTCAGAAGTGCACCTAGGTCTGTGAGCAGGTCAGTGGGAGTCACTGGCTACAGTATCCTCCTGAGGACATCTCCTGCTTGCAGGGCATGGACCTCAGCTTGGGAGCTGGAATACACTGGTGGCTGAATGTATTTGAACAAACAATGGGTTCTAAGGCTCCAGCTGGGTAAGGCCAGTTTGTGACAGGTTATTTGGCCTCTGAATTTCTAATCTGACGTTGGTTCATAAAGAACACAACACAAGGGACACTGTAGTGACAGTCTTTGTGGTTTGTGTTTTCTCCTAAATTACATCTAGCAACCAGGTCGCAATTATTTTAGCAACCAAAATACTAACTACACCTCTCCCTCCCACTACCCCAAACAATTTCATTGTGAGGGCCAAATTGGCCATGGCACTTCAGCTGACTACAGTCTGCCTCTCTAAAAAGTTACAGTTTCAGCAGAATGCAGAATTTTTCACTGGAACACGGTTGTGCAGCTACTGGAAAGCTCTTGCTTGCTAACTGCTACTGTGATGGATTTAAACCTACAACACAGCAGCTCTCATGTAAGTGTGCTGCTCAATCAGGATCCTAAATTTCTTTGGGACTCTGCAGCTGAAAAATACAAAATCAGAGTCTTGCATTTTCATATCAAGTCAATGCTAATCTTATGCTGTTTAAATGTAAATTTCTCCCCCTGCCCTCAAGTTAACTCTACATCCATGTTTAGTCAGGAAATCTTAATAAGAAATACAGAGGCAAGAGTTATACAGAGACCTTAACAACTTGGGGCCTCTGCCACTAAGACACAATGTAGAAAATGAATCTTGGTAGGTTATAAAAATGCATTTGTCATCATTGTCTCATAAATACTTACGATTGTTAATCACAAGTCCTGGAAATGGTCTGGAAAAAAAAAAAATTACTGATTCTAAAATGCACTGCATGGTGTTTCCTCCCAATGTAACCTCCCCACACCTTCTACAACAGAGGTCATGCTAAAAAATGAAAAGAAAGGCAAGTAAAACAGAAGGAGTATAGCTCTTGGGCACTTTGGTTCTTCAAAACTAGCATTTTGAAAAGTAACATGTATGGGAAGACCTAAACCCTTCCCTTGGTCACTGCTACTTAGCAAGGAATCACCTCTTCTTCAGGGTTCAATTCAAAACCACATCAAAGTCCTTTTTTTGGTTAGAATATGTCATGATTAAATGTTGAGAGTTCAGACCCTTTAGTAAAATCTAAGAACTTCTCTCTCTAAGGATAAACTGAAGCTTCTAAACTCCTGTGAAGTCATCTGTGATTTGAGAAGTTACAGAAATGGATCAATTTTATATTTTCAACTCCCCCTTAGAATGATTCCAAAGTTTGATCTGTTTTGCTTCAATGCATACAAATTAACACTGGATATGTGTGTGTGTATCTATGGAGATATACACATGCAAATGAAACTCCCTTATACTATAATTGGACAATAGTGTATTTTAAAATATTGCATAGTAACCAATGAGCTCTGGACTTGTTTCAAAACTTGATATTATGACTGGGAGAGCAAGGCCCAGAAAACTATAGGACTTTTTAGCTATTATGATTAGATTTGGACTCAAAAGACAGCTTTCTGTAATATGCAGTATTAGTAATATGCCTTTTGTCATATTAAATTGGACATGTCCTCCTTCATTCATGCCAGGAACATCTGGGCTTCATTTGACCTGATATATTGTTATCCAAAAAGAGCCAACACCTCTTTAAAGATGGACTACAACTTCTATTCTCTCACATTTATTCCAGCTATGGGACTGTACTCACAATCTAATTAATGGCAACTACATACCTAATGACAGTGAACTTGATAGACTCTGCTGAATCCAAAATCTTCCTCATTGAGCTGAGTTCCAGATAACTGGGTGCTTTAAATGCCACACCTGGAGGCATTCCATCCACCAACACACAGCCAGGGTTGTTAGTGATTTTTCTGTATGGAACTTTCACAGGAAAATTCATACCAGTGGCTTCACCTAAGTGAGAGAGGTCGTGTTTATTTTCAAACCCACAGTATTTATGATTACACTGACGAAAAAGTCCTCAGATGATTAAAAAAAATTCAAACCACGCTTTCTATCAGATCTGAAACTATCAACCTTCACTTGACAATGAAACAATTACAGTGTTAGAAATGAGGCTCTGGATTACACTCATGAACATTACTATGAGAGCATCAGTCACAGCTCCAAGTCTGACAGTTCAGCACATGAAGAACACAGACTCTGCTCTTAGAGAGCAGTACAGAACAGGATATTAAAGGAGATAGCTACATGAGGGAAAACAGCATTTCCTGCAATGCTATGAAAAGAAATTCAATAAAGCCCAAGTGAAGGAATTTCAGATAAGGAAACTAAAGTCATTGCTTCTATAAAATGCAAAGTAAAAAAAACCCAAACAAAACTATACACAGCAAAAGGGTTAAATTGCATTTTTAAAATTACTCTAATCCCAAGTATTAAGAGGTCAGGATTATGAAGCCCTGAGAAGAATCATGGACTGCCAGCAAAATCCATCATGTTGACATAGGAAAAAGGAAAAGGGAAGGGGAACCATGAAGCAATCTAGAGTCTTAGGACTTTGTTTAAAACACCAAACTGTCTACATCACTTACAAAAGATTCTTTTTGGAGTCAAAGCACAACATTCATATACAATTCTCAAATTTGTTCATTTTAATGACCATAGATATAATTCACTGTGTGTGAATATTCATTCAGTAACTGCACTGTGAACAACATTAATTGCACTCACACCTATATAAAAATGGGGAGTAAGAAGCAATTACCAAATTTCTGGCTAAAAAGATCATTTACTTGCTCTCTCAATTGTCTGGCATTTTCTGCTTTTGGCAGTCGCTCACTTTCATCATCTGGAAGAAATTGTTAGAACAGCATGAGAATTAAGCACAAATTTCCACCCCTGAAGCTTGTTATCAATACATGTTTACTCAAAGCAGGTATACCCAAGAGCTTCTAAACAGGCACTGTCTTTGCTCCTCATTTTAGTAGTAACACTGAATAGTAGAAATACACACAAATAGATGGTTGCTAAGAAATTACAGAATCCTAAAATGGTTTGGTTTGGAAGAGACCTTAAAGTCTCCAGTTCCAAACCCCTGCCATGGGCAGAGACACCTTCCACTAGACCAGGTTGCTCCAAGCCCCACTCAACCTGGCCCTGAACACTTCCAGGGATGAATCTAGAAATGTCTAGAGATGATTTTGTAAAGTAATTTAAACCAACAAATTGTATTTTACTTTCTTATGGAACACAGAACGGTATGTGAAGGTAAAAGCAAAGTGATCATTCAGCAGATGGCCACAGCATGCAGCAAAAAAAAGCAGTAATTGGTGTTAAGACAAAGCAGTTCAGCCTGCATGGTCATTCAATTCAGTTCAAGTACTGACATCTGCAAGTTGCCAAGAACTGCAAGTCAATATTTAATTTATTGCATCATAAAAATGTGGATACTTCTAACAGGTGGTTGGACTAAGAATATTCTACAGATGTCACTGATGAGATATTAATGAGTGTTAGATAATATTTATATCTCAGCAAAACCAAAAGGTAACTTAGGTTCTTTCTTGACTGTACTTGTATTTCAGCAAACCAGCCTGACTGTAGGAAAATATCAAACTAAGCAGATATCACGAAGAATAGAAGCACAAGTATTATGATGTGAAACCAGACAGTATACACACCTTTTATGGTTACTTTAACAATGTTTAGGTCTTCAACATCTTCAGATGCTTTCACTGTGTTTTTTGTGGTCCTTGCTGTATTGGCTTTACTGGAGGAATTATTTTTTCCTAAGAGGATTAATTTAGAAAACATTTATAGAGAGGTCAAAATCTTCAGTTTCATCTATAAAGAAAATATTGCAAAACAACAAATATTGGCAAAGTTTTCAAAGAGGACCTAGTTTCAGTTTCAAAATGGAAGCATTTATTCCATGACCTACCTACCTGATATAATTTTCTACTGGCTATCTGCACTCCTGTCTCTGGTGCCTGTGTCATTTAGATGATCTACACACTAGGAGCAAATAATTTATCTCTAGACCCAAATAAATCCTGTGAATCCTACATTGCTGGCTACATTTTGATAGAATGTAGTAAAGAATACATTAGAGGCACAATTATTTGTGAATAACTTAAAAAACTTAATACTCCCTTGTGAGAGCTATATTTTAACTGTAACTGGTAAGTGCTTTTCCCATCTTGAAAACAGACAAACAAACAAACCAAGCAACTGCAATGTAGAATAAATATTTCAGGAATTTATTAGCACCATGCTGCTCTCATAATTAATATTTAACCCTTGAAATAAACTGTTATTTGGGAAGTTAAGCAGCTGCAAAACTCACCTTGGGTGCTTCTATCAGACCTTCCTTTGATAGCTGCCTCAAGCACCTCAGGCCTGAAAACAGATTGAACATTTTACATACAATAATAAAATTATAACATCAACATTAAAGAAAATCCCATTTTCTAAAAATGGTAACTAAGTGATATCTTCTCAGCCAAACAGTCAGTCAAGAATGCAATGACTGAGAAGCTCCATAACTTCCCAGAATCACAGAATCTTAGACTGGTTTGGGTTGGAAGGAACCTAAAACCTTACCCCTGCCACGAGCAGGGACATCTTCTACAACATCAGGTTGCTCAAAACCCCGTCCAACCTGGCCTTGAACACTTCCAGGGATGGGGCAGCCACAGCTTCTCTGGGCAACACCCTCCCAGTGAAAATTTCTTCCAAACATCTAATTTTACCCTGCTCTCTGTCAGTTTAAAGCCAATCTCCCTTGTTCTATCACTATCTGTCCTTGTAATTTCTCTTGCCACTGTTTCTGCACTGGCACAGGAATATCTAAACCTGTTCTAGGCAAAAGAAAGAGAATTCTTACAGCTGTCATTAAAATAATCTCCACTCCTCAGCTCCCAATACACAACCAGCAAGCTTTATGAGTAGCCCATAAGTGCTCCTTGCAGTAGGAATTAAACCAATGATGTGATAATTGTGATGGATTAAGAAATATGGACTTGCTCTTCCTCTCACAGCAGTCTAAGAGTCTGTCAGAACAAAGAGATTATTGTATCTTGTTCCACTGGCACAAGAGCTTTCCCACCATTTCCTCAATAAAAATATTGCAGTGTGTATTTTATAGAGTAATTTAGCAACTTGGCAACACAATTTCATTTTTTGGTCTACATTTCAATTCTCATAGAACAGATTATTAAAAACATATGGGAGCCTTACTTTTTAATAATAAATTTTATTTTGGGTCTATTTCTCAGGATTTTCTCTAGTCTTGGAATCCCAAAAGTCGTAGGCTGGCGGAAGGGCACGCCCTCAGGCAGTCCTTCCACATGGAAATCCTCTGGGTAGGAATCAAACAGTGCATATGGCACCTTCACTGGCCCACTGCGTCCCAGAGCTTCCCCTGAAATGCAACAGAGCAAATAAGGACCCGTTAGGCAACTGATGTGTACAGAAATAGCATACCCCTGCTGGAAATGGAATAGAGTAGTTGGCACATGCATAATCAATTTACCAGCAGGCTTTGCCTTCTTTGGTGACAGCTATGAATATGCAGGAAGAAAATTAACAATTCAAACATGACTTTCTGTTGCAGTAAATCTTACCATAATTTGCTGAAACTCAGTAATTTGCAACCAGCTCATGCCACTGGCTTGGTCTGCATGCATGACTATCCTATCTGCATGCCCCTTTTGTCTTAGCCTGCAAATGCAAGATGTGGTGGGGGTGTGCATTCCATCATCCTCTGTCAGAGCTGGGGCAGTTCTCTGCTGTCCATGGGGCAGTTTTCTTTATCTCTCCCACAGCCAATCCTCCCTCCAGGAGATCTCTCCTGTCCATGGCCACTGAGTGTCCCTGCATGGCTGATCAAATTCCAGCATCCCATGGGGAGATGCTCCGCCCAGGGCAGGAGCCAAGCATTCCTACCTGGATACAATCTGAGCCTGGAACAGCACAGCAGCCTTTGCCCACTGCATTCCCAGAGGAGCAGCTTTCTCCTGCCCCGCATTCCCAGAGGAAGAGCAGGCACCTCTCCAGCAGCCCTGGAGCTCCAGAGGAAAACTGCAGCCTTGTGCAGGATCCCTGCTCCAGCAGAAGCACAGCTGGCACTGCAGGAGGGCTGAGCCCCCATGGGATGGGACTGTGCCACCACCCTGACACACAGGGGGCCAGCTCCTCTTCTGACTCTGGCAGGGTTGTTTTGTATTACTGCATTTTTAATTTTCCTAACAAGGAACTATTATTCCTAACCCCGTATCTTTGCCTGAGAGCCCCTTAATTTCAAAATTACAATAATTCAGAGGGAGGGGTTTTACATTTTCAATTTCAAGAGAGGCTTCTCCCTTCCTTAGCAGACACCTGTCTTTTCAAATCAAGACACACTTTGTTGAAGGCAATGCATTCTGCCTCTTTCTCTTCTAGAGAACAGTACCAAGGACAGATGAGATTCATGCTCTTGCTCAAGAGTCCACACTCAGATGAGTAATGAGAAGCCATTACTTCCAAAAGTCACTCATTTCCAAACAGCCTGCACTAACTGTTGGAATATAATTGAGCAATTTCTCCAGATACCACCCATAACCCATTTTCAGTCATGCAGAGCCAAAGTCCCATCTATAAGCAGAGTGCAGAAAGCTCAAAATGATGTGCCAGTATGTGATATCACTCTGTGGCTCATTAAAAAAATTGTAATCCAACTACAACTTCTCCATTTTCAAACCCAAGTAAAATAACAAGTGGAAATGTGACACTGGATTGCAAGCACATGAGAATGAACTCAGATGGGAAACTGTAAGGTACACAAGGATTGCAGGAGCTCTGGAATAAACATATGAACACCTCTCATACATTTATCTAACTGCATGTTCATAAGAAGGACATCTCAGTAATAAAGAATCAATAAACATACCACATTTTTCATTAAAAAGATCTTCTACTTTCTGCTTCAAGTCATTGATTTTGGCATTCCAGAGCTCTGCCAGGAAGAAATTGGAAGAATTAGAAAAACACTTACACAATGAATCAGTCTTTGAATAACATTTTAACAAATCTTTAATAAATTCTTATGCTTGATAACCAATTTACTATGGCAGTAAAAATGTGCAAAATGGCTTTCATTCTGCAAAACTATATCCACATCAATCCTTATTTTCCTGAAGCTTTGAAAGATACTGTAACTAAATAAATCAAATGTAATTAAAAGCAAAATTAATCCAAGAGTGATCCATATTTACTATCAGATAGCATAAAATTTACTATCAGATAGCAGAAAATTTACTCATCTGAACCACCCAAAACAGTGGCAGAAAGTTCCTCTTATGTTCAATGACACAGCCCTGAAATACATGCCTCTCTCCTGAGAACTTTAATCTCTAGCACAGTTTCTACTTTAGTGGTGAGATGAGAAGTCCATTTAATTTAAGCATTTTGTTTCTGACAGCCATCAGAGCAATTTCCAAACCAGTTTACTTGTGGCTGCACTAAGTGAGCCATGGCTGGTCTACAAAACTAAAACCTCAGTCTAAAGTTTAAAAAAGTTGCAGATTTAAAAAAAAAAGCTTAGGTCTAGCAAGCAACAGGAAAGTCCAAGAAAACTGTTTGCAACTCTGAATATGAATACCACCCTAAATCAGTAGCTAAATCAATATCTCATTAATTCTAAACTTGTAGGAGTAAATAATTAATTTCTTATAGGTTTTTTGACCATACAGCTAAAAAGAAAGCATAGGGGACAAAAAAGATAAAGCTAATAACAGCAAATTCCTACACAAATATAAGCAAATAAACTCAGAATGTGAGTATGCTAAAAAAAAGGTTTACTGAGACATGGAACTACTTAGAGTTACTTTGAATGCAGTCACTCATCTCACTTGACAATGAAGAATTTTTCTGGATTGCAAATTCAATGCTGAGATTTCTGTTCCAGAGCACTGCACTAACAGGCCTGGGCCTCCATGGCCAAAAAGCTCTGGCCTACATTCATGGACACAACTACTTTCAGGGCTTTCAACCCTGTCCAGCTTTTCCTTTACTGATTTTCTACAACTGGAGAGGTCAGTCATGGCAATCATGCACAATCAGCTCAGACAGGTCATGGCTTACTAATGTTGGTTCAAATCCTTCCTGATCCCTACATCCCACCTAGGTATCTCTGCACAGTGATGTCAATATTTCAGATTTGTGGAGGGTTTATGAAATTTATGCACATCTCAGCTGGGTTTATGCACTTGATGGTACTTTGCACCAGAAAAGTCCTTCAAGGGTCTGCAGCACTGTGCAGTAACAGAGCAGCACAAATCTAGAACTGCCTTTGTACCTGAATCAATGACATCTAATGGATCTGGGCTGCATTTGTACAGCACACTCCACACATCATCCAGTATTTCTCTACTGCAGATTATTACACATAATGAAGAACCGAATGTACACAAAAGGGAGGACTTCAGTCATTCACTAACTGTACATCAGAATATGAACTCAAAATATCTGATATGTAATCTGGATGTTCCATACCAACATTAAAGAATGCATGGGTGTTAGTTCTCTCAACACTTACCAAAAGAAAACTCTCTTCCTTGTGGCTTCAAATTTTCATTGGAGTCATCGGTATGAGAATTAGTTTCTGCATTTGTGGTTTGGTCTTTTTTAGGACCTATGAAGAGACATTACATATTTAAGGCAGAGCAGAAACAAGACATCATACAAAAAGAAAAATGCATCGAACTTGATTACTAGAGAAATCTTCAATTCTGAATCAAGAGTAGAATAAAAAAAAACAAAAAAACAACCACCCTTTAGGAAGTTCTAGAGTTGTATTTAAGCATTTAATGCTACTGACCACATCTGTGATCTCTCTGCTCAGGACTACAGCAGTTCCCACACCTCTGCTTGGAATAATGGGCCCAAGCAAGCTGTCAAACTGCAACATTTTACCTAAGCATCACCTACACAGTATCCAGTTTGTTTCAGAAATGAAAAATAAAGATGCTTTTATACTGAAGTGTATCTGGAGCCCTCAAGAGTTTGCTACATGAAGTGCATGTTACTTATGGGCTATGAAAGCTTAGAAGAACAGACAATCTAGAAGAATATAATAAAAGAACATCAGAAGAATATTTATTTCTTCCATACTGTCTTCAATAGTAACTTCAATCTCCGGGACACTTGAATTTTCTGAAGAGCTTCGTGACCTTTTGGAAGTCCTTTGATCTTTGGAAGGACCAATTCCTGGAAGCCAAAAGAACACAAGGCGTAAAGCACAAATTTTGCACGCCTAACAAAGGAACAGCTGTATTCTAACAATTCTAACAGACTGAACTAAGCAGAGTCTGCACAGTAAAACCTGAACAATACAGTGATGCTCACAATCTTAAGAAGTAGGTTTAGTGCTCTTGAAAAAAACACATCTAGATTTTCCATGAATTCAGAACAAAAGACTTTGTTTTTTCTAAGGGTGAAGGAGAGTTTTGTTACTTTTTATTATCTAAAACCCCCAAAAATTACTAACATCTGAATTTTCTACAGACAAAAGATTCTTTCATTCTTTTCTTATAAAACACCATTGTTCTTTACAGCAGTTCACAGCTCTCAGTTAAAAATGGTTGAAGCCATTAAAAGCGAAATAAAAGTTGTCAAAATTGAGGAAATTCCATTTTCTGTACTACAATAGTCAAGTAGAAAAGCAGATATATTTATGGTTTGAGTGTCTTTCTCAACAGCAGATTTAGAGACTACTATGCTAGATCATCTTAAATAATGCCTTTTATTTACAACACCTGTCTTTTTCAACCACAAAGAGCTCTCAGTCTGCTAGGGAAGTAGAAAAGAAGTATTTACAAATGGATGGCAGCAAATAATATTTAATTGTTTACCTTTTTTCTTTAGTTTACTAGCCAGTCTTAGAGGCAAATGGGAAATGATAAGCTCAGGCCTAGAAGTTGAACAGAACAAATCCAATCAATTGCAAGACAAGTCATACAGCAAAAAGTTACCAATTTCTTGGAATTCAGTTGAGTTCCAATTCACATAACATCAGCTCTCTACAAGGAAATTCTGTTAGAAGCATGGATAACTCTCCATCTACTACAACCACAAAAAAAAATAGAAAACATAAAGCTGTATTTTCTATTCTGCAATTTTCTTCTGGGTTTACTTCAAGCAAAGAAAAATACAGAAAAATAAAAAAAACCCCCAAGGAACTAAGCTTCCAGGTGCAAGACCATTTTCCCCCCTCAATTCTTGATGCATGAAACACACAATTTATACATCTACAGAAATTTAATGAGGAATGTATGTCCTTGTGTGAGGACCACATATGTGCTAAATATTCTTTGTGTTTCATGGAAGCAGAGTTTAGGTAGCATTTAAAGCCTAGAGCTGCTGGGAATGAAGTCAAGTAACTTCAAAATCAGAGGTAACAATAACTGGATCACAAACTTACTTCTTAATAATAAATTTGATTTTGGTACTCGCACGGATGATTCTTTCGAGGCGTGGAATTCCAAACCACGTGGGACTCCGGAAGGGGACTCCTTCTGGCAAGCCTTCCACCACCAAGGAGTCAGGGTGTGATTCAAACACAGAATAGGGAACTTTCACTGAATCTGAAACCTCTGAAAGCCCCAGAGCTTCAGCTGAAAATAAAAGATTAAATGATGTATTACAAACTTCAATGGGTGGAATTTTATCTCAAGTGATTTTAAGAATCTCGTCTCACAGAGGCTCTGCTACTCAAAGCTAACAAGCCTCCTGAAAAACAATAGAAATATTTAAATGTATTTGAACAGATTCCCTATTATTTTCTGTGCAGTAACTGCAAATGGGAACTTGGCCCATCTTGTTACAGATAACATTTAATATAGGCCTAAAGTGCCTAATGTTTTATTTTGAGAACTTCTTTTCATCCAAAAGCTTTTGTGCAATCATCTCGTCACGCAACCAGAAAAATAATGGCCTAGGATGCTGTTATAAAAACATTTATGTCAGTTATAGGAAAGAGTAAGTAAAACATAGGTAAGAGGAGTCAAGATTTCCATATCCGTTCTAGTATACTTCTGATGCTTAAGTAAATTCTGTAACATTTAAACAGAGGAGTTTTAAAATGCAGCAGCATTACAGAACAGTTCATTTAGCATTTAACTTACCAAACTTCACACTAAATATATCTTCTACTTGCTTTCTTAGCTTTGTGATCTTGGAATTCCAATCTTCTCTTGCTGAAAACCAGAAACGGGTGTCAGAGAATCACCCAGCTCTAGATACAGAGGTACATTTGAACATACTTCTTTCAACATAAGAACATGAAAACTAACAACACAATTACATCTGATTAGACAGGGACACACAAGGAGTAATGATTATTAATAGCAGCCTAAATAATACACGTAATTTCCTCTACATAATGAAAAATCTATTTAAATGTAGTTACAAATTTCAAACACTGACCCTAGCAGAACAACTTGGTCTTCAGAGCCTTCAGATGCAGAAAGAAATTATTTTAGTGGTTCTTCCTGTTAAAGGCACATCATGCTTTCAAGAAGTCCCTACAATTCCTTACCAACAGAGACCTGAAAGAGCTCAGAGTCACCTGTGAAATCCCAAGGGACTCCAGACCTTTGATTCAGGCCAGGACAGTAACTCCAGTTCTCTGGGGCTCTGAAGGTGACCTAGGCTAGTTATTCAAAGGCAGCTGGGACTGCATCAGGATTTCAGAATCCAGCAGCCATCCATGTTCACAGTGATCAGCTCACTCCTTCCAACCCTCATGAAGAATATCCCAGCACACTTCACATGGGTTCCTTCTTGAAAAATGCTGCACTGATCTAGATGTGTTTCCCCATCAAAGCCTTCCACCCTTCCATTCCCACCTGGAGACAGCACCTGTCTTACCTTGAGGGTTTGACCTGTGCGGGATACCTTCGTTTGAAGCGTGAGTTAGCAGCTCTGGCCTGCAACCAGGACACAAATAATGTGCTTATTCTTGTCATAAATTAAATACCACTACCTATTATGACATGAATTGAAGAGTTTGAATTTTTCCATTATGTTTTTCACACATGTCAACATGTTAACAGATATGCAAAACATATTCTGAAATATTTGTCTGGATTGCAAATGCCCACTTTACAATGCAAAATATTCCATTTGCCTATTTGTTAACTAGAGACCAAATGCTTCATGACTTAATGAAACCAAGTGCTTGATTACACACAGGGTGTTTGTTTGGATTCTTTCTTAAAAAACCCTCCATGTTTAGACTTACCTTTTGATCACAAATTTTATTCTGTGGCCTGCTTTAATTATTTGTTCAAGGCAAGGGATTCCATACCAGGAGGGACTCCTGAAGGGGACGTTCTCTGGCAGCCCTTCAACATAGAGGTCATTTGGATGAGCTTCAAATTTCTTGTATGGAACAGCTCTGGGATCACTGCTCCCCAAAGCCTTGGCTGTTGGAACAAAATACATCCAGTAACTGGACAGACTGGCCAATCAACCTTTATTAAAAGCTAGCTGATACCAATTCCTCAGGCTGTTGCAACTGTGCTCTTAAAATGTGGAACAATGCAGGACATCTAAATCCAACAAAACCCAAGTCTCTGCATGTAAAAAAATGTTAAAGAATTGCCATATTCTATGATGTTGCTGTTGGGCAGTCACAATACCAGACTGGATTGCTTATTGGGTCACAATACATTTGTTTTATCCAAAGTTGTTAATCTGTTATAGAGTATCATGAAAAAAATTTATTCTAGGTCTTAGAAAGTTGACTTTTTTTCTTCATATTTGACAGAATATAAAAATTCACCCAAAAATGTTTTAATACTAATTGTTTTAATACTAATTATGATGATATTGCAGTGGATATAAGTAAACAGCTGTTTCACCACCGAAGGAAAAAAATCCAAACAGGAAGGAATCAAGAGCAATCAGAAGAGCTGTATATGTAAGAGTTAAAATTATTTTAAAACTATGAATTTACCCTGTATAAGCAGTAAACTAAAACATTATTTTTCACTGAACTTCCAGAATTTTAGATATTTGGAAAAAAAAATCTGAACAAAGGTCTCATTCATGCAGACATTCAAAGAAAGGAATGAAAGCAACCTTCAAGAAATACAAAGCCATTCAGAAAAGAAGATAATAATACTGCACTTACCATACATTTTGCAGAAAAGTTGATCTACCATCTTTCTCAGTTTGGTGACTCTGGAATGCCAGTCCTCTTTCACTGTATTTGAGACTGACACAGAACAAAACCAACATTCCTTAATTATATTGGTTATATTTTCAGTTGTTCAATTTATACAATGCATAATCATCCTACATTTTCAGACAACACATAAATGTTGCATGTAAGAAGTATGGATTCAATGTGGAACTAGAAAAAATTACCATAAAATAATGACAGAATATTAAAACTGTCAAAACTCTGCTGAACCACTGACATCACTCTTGCTACAAAATACACACAATGTTTTGGCCTGAAGAACTGCAATATTCCATCATCCACCTCCAAACAGCAGATTCCACTTGGAGATGGAAATAGTTTTTCAATGGTTTCATTTCCTGAAGAATTTATTGATATTCAGTGCAGAATTAGGAATGCGCATGGGATGAAAACTTGCTTTTAAGGGATCAAAGCACATATAATACAAATCACTTCTTGCTCCTGAATATGTCTTTGTGACCAACAAGTGAAGCTTCCCAGTCTCAAAGAACACATTGGCCAGCTTACACACCAGGGGTTTAGTCAGAATGCAAAAGCAATGACTTGTGTTCCATACTTGCACCAGACTGGGCTATCAGCATAAGCACCAGCTGACACTTCCTGAGATCCAACTGGTCTGTCTTGCAGCCAGTATCAGTCTTCTCAGAGTTTCTGGACTGAGGCCATTCCACAAAACCATTCTGACCAGACTATCTCCCACAGGAATGCAAATGAAAATCATCTTTTCCTCTGCCAGTCAAAATACAGGTTTCATACTCATCCCATCCCTTTCCTGCTGGGGACACAAGCTGTCAGGACCTATGGACAGAGCAGGAATTGGACATGGAGCCACAAGGAGCTGAGAGAGCAGGGGTTGGTGCTCCACAGCTCTGTCTCCTGAGATGGCAGTGGACACAGGGAGCAGCAGAGGAGATAATAAATTACTGGGAAAGAGGAAATCCAAACAGGAAGAAAACTGCAGGAAAGGAGGCTCAGACAGCTGCTGTCTCCTGTGTTCTCTGAGATGTGACTGACAGCTCCCAGGGATGCTCTCTTCTCTTATTAGAGAGGATGCAGAGGTCGCACGTACCACTATCAAGTGGTAGCTGCTGATGACAAGCCATATAAGCAACTGTTCAGAACCCTGTGCCATAGAAATTGATTAACACCAGTTTTCTTAGCTACAGGGGTTTTATGAGCAATGCTTTGCTCATAATCAGTACAACCGTATTAAAAATAACTAAAAAAAACAACAAAAAAAAGGCTGCCATAGAAATTGATTAACACCAGTTTTCTTAGCTACAGGGGTTTTATGAGCAATGCTTTGCCTCTGTAATCAGTACAACCGTATTAAAAATTACTAAAAAAACAACAAAAAAAAGGCTAATTTAAACAGCCACATAACAGTCCACTTAAGGCTAAGGCTCAGTTACTAGCCTACCTACTATTTTTGTAGTCGAATTTTGTGCTTGAAGGTACAGTAGGTTATCACGACTCAATCCACTAAGTTAACTTCAGGAAAAGTTTAATTCCTGCACACACCTTAAATAGACATCCTTACGGTACACCTGCTTAATTTAGATCCTTAATATTCACTTTAATACTGTCTTTGATATACTTTTTACAAGAGAACACTATGTGTATATAGGACAAATAGGAATATCACATGTGCTTGTGCAACTCACACATTTGAACACCTACCTGCTGGAACTGTATTGACCACGGGAGCATCTGTCGAATTCAGAAGTTCAGGCCTGAAAGATTTAAGACACGTGTTTGAACAGTGACAGACACTTTGAGAAACTAGCCTCCAGCTAGAGCCTCAAGTAACTACTTACTGAAGGATCAAACCCAAAAACCTCCCAGGCTACATCACAATCCCCAGCACTAAATCCCAACTAATGCTGAAATACCATAAGAGCTGGCTGGAACCCTACTGACAAACTATTTTTCATGCCAATACCCATATCTGATGACTATGGGTATTCACCCATTTCATGGTGACATAAAGGTTCCATTAAACTTACTTCTGAGTTGTGAGATACACTTAATAAGAAACAAAGATAGAAATTAAAAATTTAATCTCTAAAAGAGTAAACTTCAAAGCAGACACTTCTGTTTCCAAAATATATCTAATTTTATCCACAGTTGAACAAACAAAAAAATTAAACATTTTGATGTTTCTCAGAGAGCCAAACTAAATTTTTAGCTGCTCTTGTTACACATTTCAAAATCAATGAACACCAAAAATTAATTTCTGTTAACAACTACGACATATTTGACAAAAGCGGGTGCCAGCATTGCATAAATAATTAGATCTATGTATGATACCTGATTTTAAATGAGACACAAGGTAGATCTACACTTCTTCCTTTTCTAGTTATCTGCAAGCATTAGGATGATAGAAACTGACCATGTTCCTCTTAGATGTAAGCAACTAGCACCCGTGGTAAAGGCAGCATGCACAGAGGCAGGGGCTGCCACTACCCCCAATTCTCAGCCTGACCATTGCAATAATCAGATTCCTGTCCATTTCAAAAACTCTTGCATTAGCCCTACACCACTGAACACAAGAAAACATCAGCTGTTACTCACTGAAGTTTCCTTTAAACTTCAATCAGTCTCCATCTGAGGTCTCCTTCATGTACACTACCTCCAGACACACCAAGGACACCTAAACCACAGGAACCAGTAGCTATGTGTTGGCCTCAAGCTTGCCCTAGGAAATGTTTTATACAAATACAGCCATAGACACCTTGATACAAAATTCCAGCAAGTTTTAAAAAATTAGGCCAGGATCCTCAAACAGGATCAAATATTCCCAAGTCAATGGCTTTCAACATGTATTGCAGCTGCAGAGATCTGAACAGTACAAAGAGATCTGCCCCTGACAAGAAGTCCATAAGATTGAAGAGATCTGTCCAGAGATCTCTGCACCACCACTCTATGTGGTCCACTGGTCTGATAATAAGCTGAATATATCAAAGTGGACATCAACTAAAAACTACTCCTTAGTACCATAAATTAATATGCCAGTAGAAACCAGTTTGGAATTCCGTGAAGAAAATTGAAGCAAAGTGGCACCAGCAGAAAACAATGAGTAATGCAGAGATCAAAACAAAGAACTCCTTACTTCTTAATCACAAAGCGGATCCGCTCCTTTGCCAGAAGGATCCTCTCCAGCCGGGGAATGCCATACGTGGCTGGGCGCCTGAAGGGAATCCCATCTGGCAGCCCCTCCACAACTAAATCTTCTGGATGTGAATGGAAGGTTGTGTATGGGACAGACACTGGACCCTCTGCTTTTATAGCCTCACCTTTAACGAAAAAGGAGAATAAAACCATTAGACTAGTGTCACATTCATATTTTCGGAAAAAACCCTTCACCCAGGATTTTTCTCCTGAGAAGCTGAGAAGCCTCAGAGAAAAAGGAAAACAATTCTTATATCATTTGCTTCTCCTCTGTTTTGCTCCTTTGAAATGTAGTTGGAGATTGTTTAGTTGGTTTTTGCTGTGAATTGTTTTCACTCATTGGCCAATCAGGGTCAAGCTGTGTCGGGGCTCTGGGGAGAGTAACAAGATTCATTATTATCTTTTTAGCCTTCTGTAAGTATCTGTTCTGTATTCTTTAGTATAGTATAGTATAAAATCCTTTAATATAATATGGTATCATAAAATAATAAATTAGCCTTCTGAGAACATGGAGTCAGATTCATCATTCCTTCCTTCATCGGGGCACCCCGCAAATACAACAGACTAGCTTGTGGCTCTACTCAATTACCTGTTTGATATCACTCTGATGAACATTATAATTACCATACAGGCAATAACCCCTGTTAAGATAACATTTAAACATTCAAGCATTCATGTTGTGAGGGACTTTGTTTAATAGCAAAATCACTTTGATTCACAGAAAACAAGCTGCAACCCTGCATACATATGCAGATCACCCTCTTGTCCCTTTATGCAAACATTTAATAACAGTGACCACACCTGTAAGAGTGAGAATTCTCACTATTCTGGTTTTGCTTAATAGAGCTTTTTGAAAGATGAAGTTATTCTCATTATTTTGGTTCTGCTTAATAGAGCATTTTGAAAGATGAAGTTATCTAGACTTAATGATAAACTAAGCATGTTTCAGTTCATGTTCAATTTCTAGCTCTGTTATAATTTGTTACTGCTATTGGCTTACAAGTTATTAATGCCTTGGAGTAGGGGCACACATCCCTTCTTTTCAGTGAATTCCTGAAGTTTCCATGTATTTCAGAAATCCAAAGAACCACTAATGAAATAAAAAACACACTTCTAACACTGCTGAAAAAAGCATGGCCCTCCTAATGAAATCTTTGAAACAAATGAAAAGCAAGTAACCAGCAACTTGGGAAGGAGGGGGGCATACCCCACCATCCTGGACTTCCCATTGTTGCCATGGACTTCCAGACATTTAGCAATTTTGTGTTATTTACTCTTACTTTTTGCCCACTGCTGTTTTGCTTGTAAATAGACTGTTATTTTTTTCACTTACACCTACTAGTAAGTGTAGTATTGCTGGAAAGGGATTGGTTAATACCATCATGGGAGGCAACTCATTCCACAGTGTCTACCCCTTAAATTGTCTTCAACCAAGTTAATTTTCTTCAATGAACTTTGCTATGTGCAAACACCAAAAGCAAAATTAAAGCAATTCACTAAGAATGATGCTCCTTTCTAGAGCAATTAAAATACAGTGAATCAGATTCTGAACTGTATAACCTTGGTGCAAGTTGCTTTCAGTGGGCTGTTTAAATGTCAGATGATAGTCACATCCCAAACATGTAGTAACTCCAAATTACAAGGGCTACTCTGAAAGCACTTCCACTTTTTGTGGCAGAGGCACACCAGCATTTATTTTCACATCTTTACTAATGCTGCTGTAGTTTGTGAGATGTGGACACAAAACATATCTAAGTGCAGCATTTGGAGACAAATTCCAAAGTCTAACACATCTTTTTCTTTCCAAGAGCCATTGGATATATAAGTTTTACTTCACTGTAAAGCAATCATAATAAAAAATGAACAACCAATGAGTGGCAGCCTCTCTTCAGTGCCACTCTAAAGATTCTTTCACTTAAAGACTCAGTGTAATTGCAGAGAAAAGGACAGCTCTCTCAAATGTGGGTGGCCAAGATATGTGAGCATGCAGGTGCTCCAGGAGACTGAGCACAACTGAGAAATAAAATCAAACTTCCCCATTTGGTGCCAAACAAAGATATCCCATTTTGAAATTACTCTGTTCATCAAAAAAGCTCTTTTCAATTTTACTCTTCCCCATTTTATGTCTTCTAACAGTATTTAGCCCTTTGGTGCTGTGAGTTCTGGTGTGCTCCTGAGCCAAGATGCATGCCAAAGAGCAGTCTGTCACTTGCAGTGACAAAGGACTACAGGCAATGGCTTGGAAAGGTGTGTAACACATACCATATTTTTTATCAAACAGCTCTTCAACTTCCCTTCTCAAGTCAGTAATTCGTGTATTCCATTTGTCTGCAAAGAAAAGAGGAGGACAGGTCAAGCTACAAACAAACCTGAGAATCTTGTTACCCCTAAATGAAATATGAAGCATGTACTTTTATTTGTAAACAGGTGCCTCCTGAGTACAGTTCAGACTACACCTTAAAATGCATGGATGCATTAAAAAAAAAGCACAGAATAAAATGTTAAACGTTACTTCTGAAAGATGTACATTAAATAAAGTTTAAAAAACCACAACAAAAACCAGGTTAAAGTAACTTCCAAAAATGATTTCTCTCTTTGATGGCTCAGTCATCAGCTCCTGCTACCTCCAGGGGTAAAGGCAGTTTATAGGTGCTGTTGACAGTTACCTAGATTTGAGTGCAGGAAAACTTGATAAGCTTACAGAAAGCACATGGAGCTGTTTTGGTGGAAATCTGTACAACTACATGGATCAGGAGGCATCTGCCCTTCTCTATTTTAATCCAGTATTTCTCCAAGTCCTGGTGTTGCAAAATGCACCAAGAAATCCTATTTCTGAAAGAAAATACAGCTGCAAAAAAGAAGTTTATCCAAATCCAAACCTGTGCATCCAATTACATTGTCACGTTAAGTAACAAAAAATAACAGGCAGCCTATGATGGTGATTATACTGGTGCAATCCGTCTAAACAGAGACCAGGGCTCTTAAAAATGAAAGCTTGCACTAAAATGTCTCGCCTGCACAACAAAATTACTCAAATCCTTTTCATAAAACAAAGCACTGAAACAAAATCTAGAATTTTCATCTTACCAAAATTGAACTGTATTCCTCTGCTTCTCCCACTACTGCCCGAGTCGTTACCTGACTTGGGGCTTCTCTGTCTCCTCTCACGGGGTATGTAGTCATCATCATCTTAAACAGATAAAAACAAAATCACTGGGTTTTTGTCCAAGAAACTCGTGTGCAGCACTGGAACTGCTTTGAATTTTAAAACTAAAACAGAATTAAGGAACTGTGTTTGCCAGGCAACAAATGTTCAACAAATTACTTAACTGAGAAACTTCAGAAAGCTCCTGTTCCTACCTGTGAAGGAACAATTTGTTCCTTCAAAAGGGACTGTGCAAAGCACAAGAAAGCAAAGAACAAAGCTGCTCCTGTACTTCCTAAGGAAAACAACATTGTCTTCTGAAACATGACTGGGCATCACATGATTGTAAAACAGCCATGCAACAGCAAAAGGAATCACACAATAGATTGTGCAGATAGGGACTACCTTTCTGTTCTGGTACCATACTTCCCAGAAGCATTTCTTAATTACAAATGTTACCTAGAACTACAGTGGGTTTATAAAGCAATGTGTTCTCCAGAATGAAGGAATGATATAACATCTTGTCCGTTCAATGAGTATTATTCATTAACAACACCTGAAAATTATGCAAAAGATATAAACTGCTGTCATGCATCATTTCAAAACCAGCCCACCAAGTCCAATATACTTCAGTATATTGTGGTTTTCTAACACTTCTCCACCAGTTTTGTTTACAGCAGTGCACAATCCAAACTACACTCGACAATATACATACAGTATATTATACAACCAGCACACAATTCTCTTCATTCACTGCCAAGTAATACAGGCTTTGGAAAACACAATTTAGGCAGAAAAATGCCCAACTAACCAACTGAAATCAGTGACTTGGGGAACTGACCTTCACTACTGAGTTCAGCCTCAGAAACCTCACTTCCTTCTGATGATTCATGCTGGGAGGAATCTGAAAGGGAAAAACAGGACAGCTGAATGATTGGCATGACCAAGATTTTTAACCAGCAACTCCATGCCTCTGCATCTAAACCAACACTGTCAAGGAAGCCCCTTGCATTCACAGCAAGCAACAAAAATAGAAGCAAAGATATATTTACCATGAGCCTTTGAACAATTCCAGACAAATGCAAGGAGGTGAAGATTACACATACTCAAAAGTATGTAACTGACAACCAGCTGACTGCTTAAAAAACCTGGGTTTTTACAGTAAAGTGGCTCACCTTTGCTCCTGCCTGGGGACCCAGCATCACCACTGACCCCCATCTCAAACTATTCAGCAAAACCATGTGCAACTTTCACAGTTCTCTTACAGAAACTTGTAGAATACTACCAATCTCAGAAAAAGGTGTTACAAAGCCTTACTCTGGCTTAAGGGCCACACTTACCATCTGTAGCTATAAAATTCTAGTCAAAATCAAGGCACAGTCAGAGCCCAGGTCATTTCCTCTCACACTTCCCCTTCCTCATGCTCCCTCCTCACAGTCACATATAAAGCACATAGCATTATGTTGAGGAAAACAAACCACCTAGATTTCTCTTCTCCAATGAGTTCAGTTAATACTGCAGCTAGCACAGGCAATGAACATCATTCGCCATGATCAGGAGAATTGCTGCTGAATTTCATGCAATGGTACCACTAACTATGGTGATACCCACCTGCAAAACAAAACTAATGGAATTTGCAAGAAGGAGCACTGCTGCTAGCAAAACCTGCCTTGAAAAGCACACAGCTCAGGCTGAAGAGCCACGTGCTCAGAGAGAAGCCAGCAGGACAATGGTGTACTGCTCACATCCTGCCAAACCACTAAACCTTGGGTGACCAGCACCTTACAAATGCCTTTCATGACTTAAAATAATGACGATTACCATCACAATTTGCTTATAGCAAGCCCCAGAGTAGTGTGATTTGGGAGATTAAAAGCAAAACAAAGAAAAAAATCAAAAAAGCCAACCTGGTGGAAGTATGAAAAGAGGATGATTGGAGAAGATGTACAATTTCAATTAGGCAACATCTTTGCAAATATTTATATGAAAAAATATTCAATTATGGTAATTTATAAGCACAAAAACCACATCTGAAATGCTATAATTTTATTTCCACATATTTTCCTTCACTGATATCAGAACTCTGGTGGCTACTTCAAAAATATGAAGTAAAAAACATATTCCTGACTGCACAGAATCTTATAAAAGCATACAGATTAATTTGCCCCTAAACTCACCTTCATCAGCTCCAGCTAACCTGGGGGATTCCAGGCACACCATAGTTCTGCCACTTCCCTTTTCACCGTCTTGCCAAGGTTACCAGAGAGGAAAAACAGTGAAGACCCCCAATGACACAGAACAAAATAGACCAAAACCAAAGGTTTTCCTTGAGGGAAACAATCACTTGTTCAAATCTGCATCACTGGCTGTAGCTTTCAGACAACCTTCTGGAAGAGCCAGATCTGCCTGGCTATAACTTATCTGGATTTTTAGATTGTCATTCTGCCTACTTTGCTCTTAGGGCCACAGCTGTCTGCCCACATCACCTCACTATCACGTTGGGATCACCAAATGTAGGAGTTGATATGGTCATAACACACAAAGTAACACCACACAATTTAAAACAGCCTTAAGCCATTTAGCACTGGCTTGACGCCGTTTTGAATAGTGTGGTATTACTTTGTGTGTTATGATCTTTCTTGTCCAGCCCTTTCTTCTTCCGCATTACACCCTTTTATACCCTTTACCTTACATGCATTACGCCTGTGTGACCTCTGTGCCCTTTTATGACTGGTCAGTGCACCTTGGCACTCCTTGTCTCATTGCTTTCAATACTCTTCACCTGCTTCTCTAAGCTGTAGCCCATTGGGGCTGAGGCTCAGCCGCAGCCCAAATCCCAACTACCACAAAATGTGTGCCTGCACAGAGTGGTGTGATTTAGGAGATTAAAAGCAAAGTAAAACAAAAATCAAAGAAGCCAACCTGGCGGAAATAGGAATAAAGAAAGGCTGGAGAAGATGTACAATGTCAATGAGGTTACATATCTCAAAATATTTCTGTGAAAAAAATATCCTAGGATGTTAATTTGTCCTCACAAAAAAGACTTCACATCTCAAAGGCTATAACTTTATTTCCACATCTGTTCCTGTACTGACAACAGAACTCTGGTAGCTGCCTTCAAAAATATAAAGTAGAATACACACTCCAGACAGCACAGAACCTTAGAAAAGCAGACAGATTAATGTGTCCATAAGCCAAATCAAACCAAACCAAACCACAGAATAAAGGACAGGTACAGAATCACAAAAAATACCAGGTAAAGTATCTTTAAGGATGCTAAACTCAAGTGCATGAATGCGTTTCGGTGGAGAACCCAACTGAAAGGATCAGGAAAGAACGCAACCAGAAAATCCCAACTTGCTGTGCATCAATTTATGTTGTCACGTCAAATAACAAAAAAACAACATAGATAGCCTACGATGATGATTATACTGCTGCAGTTCATCAACATGAAGCCCAGGGCGCTAAAATGAAGACTTGAACTAACACATCTCACTCCTGCAGCACAAAATTACCCAAAACGTTTTCATAAAAAAAACCAGGGAGATAAAATAATCTTGAATTTTTATCTTACCAAGACTGAACTCAATGATTTCTCCTCTCTCAGCATCGGCAGATTCATTTGCCAAAATTTCAGTCTTCATTTTCTTTTCAGCTGATAGGTATTCTTCATCATCATCTTTAAGAAACAATAAAAAACCCCCTGTATTTTTGTCCACGGAATTCGCATGCAGAACCGGAACTGCCTTGAATTTCGAAACTAAAACAGAAATAAGGAATTATGTTTATCAGGGCAACAAATATTCAACGAATTACGAACATGAGCAACTTCAGAAAGCTCCTATTTGTACTCATTCCTCAATGAGTATTTTTCATTAACAACACCTGAAAATTATGCAAAAGATATAAACTGCTGTCATGCATCATTTCAAAACCGCCCACCAAATGCAATATGCTTCAGTATATTTTGGTTGTCTAATACTTCTCCACCAATTTTGTTTACCAAGCAGTGTTGTATTGCACTAAATAGTTATTTAGTTGTTTGCACTGGGTGTTTGGTAGTTTGCACTGTTCACATGATTTGTATCCTATGACCACATGGTCCTCCCCTTTTCCCCTCTGCCTAAGTGTCAGTGTGGTGGTCTCTCCCTGGTTTACCCCTCCACTCACCCCTCCTCACTGGTATCCCATTGGCTGTGGTCCTCTTCCTCAGTCCCCCATTCCCCCAGGTATAAAAGTCTCCCACCATCAGGCAATGTTCTCTTTCCCATCTGGGGGGGTCACCTGAGTCTGAGGTGTCTCCACACAAGTCAATAAACAGAGGACATTAGTTCCCACATGGAGAAGAGCACTTCTGGTCTTTTGTCTTTTGTCCATGTAAGATCGTGTGGGCTGGGGTCCATAGCCAGCTGGAATGGACCTGAAAACCCTACCCAGACACAGATTTTTACCGCTGGCGCCCAACATGGGGCACCATTTGTTGCAGCTTGAATTGCTGCTAGTAAAGTTCAAGGTAAAGAAACAAAAAAGGGCCTTTGCATAATATCCACAGATGTTTCATTCAGCCGCGCGGTGAGATGTTCAGGTCCCTGGCCACACACACATTCAGGGTCCAGCATTCCCTCCCCAAGTGCTAGGGGACTAATCCTGGTCTCGGGGCAGTACAAAGATACAGCCTAATCAGGGAAATGGGAGGCAGTGGCCCAGGAATATAAGAAGAGACATAGGAACAGAGGAAGGAGACAATGGTGTGTAACTTAGGGGTTGCCCCCCAGGGCTTCCTCAAAGCAGTGCACAATCCAAACTACACTCAACACCAGCACACAATTCCCTTCATTAAGTGCCAAGTAATGCAGGCTTTGCAAAACACACTCTGAATAGAAAAATGCCCAACCAACTGAAATCAATGACCTGCAGAACTGACCATCAACAGTGACCTCAACCTCAGGATTTTCAGTTTTTTCAGACAAGTCATGTTGGGAGGAGTCTGAAAGAGAAAGATAGGACTGTTGAATGATGGACATGGACAAGATTTTCAACCAAACACCCCATGCCTTTGCATCTAAACCAATATTGTCAAAGAAACCTCTTGCATTCACAGCATGCAAGAAAAACACAAGAAAAGATATTTTACCAAGAGCCTTTGAGCAATTCCTGACAAAGGCAAGGAGGTGAGGATTACACTAGCTGAACTGACGCAAGTGTAATCCTGCACAGACTCCAGACTGCACAGAACCTTAGAAAAGCAGACTGATTAACGTGTCCATAAGTCTAACCAAACGAAACCAAACCATAGACTAGAGGAGGATCACCAGATGAAGCATCTTTATGCAGGCTAAACTGAAGTGTATGAATGCATTTCTGTGGAGAACTCAAGTGAAGGGATCAGGAAAGAATAGAACCAGAAAATCCCAACTTGCTGTGTATCCATTTACATTGCTATGCCAAATAACAAAAAATAGGAGTGGCTATGATGATGATTATACAGCTGCAATTCACCTACACGGACCCCAGGGTTCTAAAATGAAGGCTTGCACTAACACATCTCACTCCTGCAGCACAAAATAACCCAAAATGTTTTCACAAAACAAAGCAGGGAGATAAAATCATCTTACTGCAGTTGAAATATTTTGATTTTCTTCTCCTTCTATTGGCAGTTTCCTTAGCCGACCTGGTGTTCATCCTCCTCTTTCTCTTGCTAGGCGGCAGGTACTCATCATCATCGTCTTCTAAAAAAAACAATTTAAAAAACCCATGGTTTTTTTTGGCCTTCTATGGACCAAAAGTCAGGCATAGCTCTAGAACAGCCTTGATTTTCAAAACTTAAGCAGAAATAAGGAACCGTGGGCACCAAACTTTGCAGTAAATTACTTACTTGAGTACCTTCAGAAAGCCCCTGTTCTTACCTGTTTTCTAATTCATCACCACCAGGCTCGTTTACCAAGCAGTGCACAATCCAAATTACACTCAACACCAGCACACAATTCTCCGTATTCGGTGCCAGGTACTGCAGGCTTTGCAAAACACACTCTGAATAGAAAAATACCCAAAAACCTGTAATCAATGACCTGCAGAACTGACCTTGACTAGTGATTTCAGCGTCAGAATCCTCACTTGCTTCTGATGAGTCATGTTGGGAGGAATCTGAAAGGGAAAAAAGAAGAATGCTGAATGATGGACATGGACAAGATTTTCAACCAAACACTCCATGCCTTTGCATCTAAACCAACATTGTCAAGGAAGCCCCTTGCACTCAGAACATGCAACAAAAATAGAAGCAAAGATATTTTACCATGAGCCTTTGAGCAATTCCAGACAAAGGCAAGGAGGTGAGGATTACACTTGCTGAACTGCACAGGCTACACTGCACAGCTGCTGCTATGACTGAAGGAAATTCCAGTGTCCTGGCTTTGTAGGCTTAATACAATCATAAGTATATTCCCCTCTCTTACCCAGAACTACTGAAAATATAAACAAAGGCTGCCCGTCCCCACAAATTAGGTATTTTTTTACCAGCTCCACAGACTCATGGATACTGCACTATGATGACTTCCATAACAGGCTGCAAGGGCAACAATCAAACATGGGAGGGATATTCATGATCACAATGCTTTTGTTGGGGCAGAGTGCACCAACAACACAAGCAGGATTCGCCAATCAACACTCAGTGTGAGAAAGAGCAATTTATACTTAACTGCACTACAGTTAAACAAAGTGAAGCTAATTGTATCTGGAACTCTATCCAAATTAAGTAGCAGTGCATGAAGGAACATATTTTAGTTATTCCAGCAGAGTAAAGCTGCACTTGTGCATTTTGAAGAGTATCTTGTTTCAGATCTCTGTAAGCTGGGGTATGGTATCACTTTGGGAGCATGTCTGAAGGAATCTCTGCCTCAAAAGCTTCTCTTCACACGATGTGTGGGGTGTAGAGCAGAAAGTCAGCTCTATCTACTGGGACACCTTAATGGAGTATATTTGAACTGTGTCAAATACATCATCCAGTTCATGGAAATCAGTACCATGTTTTGATCTAATTCCAAGGGAGTGCTGGGTACAGAACTAGCAAATGCAAAGCTGTACAAAAAGGAAGAATTAGGAGTTGTTTTACTAGACATGAACATAAAGTACAGTAGTAAAAACCTGTCACATCAACTGATCATTTAGAACCTGGCTGAGAGAAGTAAACAAGATTAAAACAATTAACATTATACAGCATTTTTGGAAATAGGTATTGCATTTTTGGAAATTTAAGAATAGGTATTGGACTGGAAAATGGTCTATCTAATCTAGCACCAAATCCCTGAGAAACACTCAGCATTAAGGGAATTGTACAAAAACTCAAATCAAATGGCAGCAAAGTTCTGGAAGAAAACTCCCAGATGGGACATTTCTTCTTAGGACACATTACACCAATGGCATTAAACATTGAAGTACGTTTTTTTAACAACATATCATCATCACTAGGTCTAATCTGACCTTGGGTAAATACACACAGCTCCTATGTAAGAAGCCTTCCTCGCAGTTCTAAATGTTCTCATTCACTAGCACTGGCTTCAGTTTCTCAAGCATGATTTTCTTCCCTTCAAAACAAGTTCTTCTGACACACATAACCTCAACTTTCTGGTTGCTGAATTCCAATCACACCATGCTGCCCACTCATCCAATCTCATTAAGACCACCTCAGACACCTTCATCAGCTCCAGCTAACCTGGGGGATTCCAGGCACACCATAGTTCTGCCACTTCCCTTTTCACCGTCTTGCCAAGGTTACCAGAGGGGAAAAACAGTGGAAACCTCCAGTGACATATGTTATACATATATATAATTTGAGCTGTTTATACTATAAAATAAGTACATGTTATAATGTTTAGAATAAATATATAGGGATGATTTAAACTCACATGCGGGGTCTGAGGAATGCTATGGAAAGACCGCATACCATTACAAAATTGCAGCCTACAGCAGGAAGGGGTCCAATTTACAATCGAATGGACCTAGCCTGGGTGGAGACCAACTGCACCTGAACGCTATCGGAACGCTATCGGAGGAATTGCATTCAAATGTCAAGTTCCGTAACCTCACCACCAGCCATCACTGCCTGCCAGGAGCCACACTGTCAAACACAACCTGGAGGAAGAGGACAATGTTAATATGCCTGACTAGCACTCATTGCTAGCCAGGAACTGTGTTCTCCAGTCCAGCCCGAAGAAAGGAAACAACATGAATATGATTGACTGTGGAAAGAATAAGAGAGACTCTGCCTCGGACCAGAAAAAAAGCATAAAACCAGACTGTATCAGACCGCATTTGTGAACAGAGGAGGATCCGATGTGATAGAGATCGGGCCAATGTTCACCCAGTGCTGATCCCAGAGTCTACGCTGTCCCTTTGATTGTGGCTATCGAGATTGTATATCGGTCGTGAAATAAAATCTATCTTTATTAATTTTTAATTTGGCGTTATCGAGTTTTACCTATAACACATAGAACAAAATAGACCAAATCTAAAGGTTTTCTTTGAGGGAAACAATCACTTGTGCAAATCTGCATCACTAGCTGTAAGTTTCAGACAAACTGCTGGAAGAGCTTTAAATGCATCTTCTGTGTATTTCTTTACTTATACATGGATTAAAGCCAAAACTATAAAATCCAAACACTGCCACTGATTTGTCTGTGTCATTCATTTTTGTGAGGATTGGCAATAAATAATTTCATTGTACAGAATCCAGACATGGCTGCCTACTCTGTATGCCTATTTAAACCACAAATGAAATTTAAGTTAGACTGCTACCTGCAACTTTTAGCCACTGCCTCAAGACCTTTTCATAAATACCAGCCTTTATGAACAACAGATATTCAGCAAAACCACATGCAGCTTCCACAGTTCTCTTAGAGAAACTTGTAAAATACAACAAATCTCAGGAAAAGGTGTGCTACAAAGCCTTACTCTGGTTCAAAGGGCAACACTCAGCTTCTGTAGCTATAAAATTCAAGTCAAAACTAAGGCAGAGTCACAATCTCAGTCATTTCCTCTCACAATCAAGTATAAAGCACATGGCATTATGCTGAGGAAAACAAACCACCTAGATTTCTCCTCTTGGAGAAATAAGTTCAGTTAATACTGCAGCCTGCATGAGTAATGAATTTCACTCTCCTTTATCAGGAGAATTGCTGCTGAATTTCATGCAATGGTACCACTAACTATGGTGATACCCACCTGCAAAACAAAACTAATGGAATTTGCAAGAAGGAGCACTGCTGCTAGCAAAACCTGCCTTGAAAAGCACACAGCTCAGGCTGAAGAGCCACGTGCTCAGAGAGAAGCCAGCAGGACAATGGTGTAGTGTTCGCATCCTTCCAAATCACTAAACTTTGGGTGATGAGCACCTTACAAATGCCTTTCATGACTTCAAATATGACAACTCCCATCACAATTTGTTTATAGCAAGCCCCAGAGTGGCATGACTTGGGAGTATTGTGGGATATGTATTTTTTTCTTTCTCATGGAATTTTCTTCCCATTTGTTGCCAGGGAAATGATGAATAGATGGCAGTAAAGACAGAAAATAGGTGGTTGATTACCTTGGCATACTGCTGGAATGTTTACGGGGGCAGGAAGGGGAAGCTGGGTTGTTTTGGCAGTCTCTTAGCTGGGCATGGGCAGCCTGCCTGGTTGGAAGCAGAGATGGTTGTGTGCTCTTCCTTTGCCTTAGACCTCTCCTATACAATGTTTTTACACACTGCCATGAAGCTCTGCCTGCTGCCATCTTGTTAGCCTGTTCCTTGCAAGAGATTTAATCCTGGCCACTACACTAAGATTCACCAGCTCCATGAGGGAGCAGCACGGTCCCCGTGGCTGCCTGGGGAAGACATCCTTCCCCCCTTTTTCCCTGGACCCACTGCATGGACAGCCAGCTTGACCTGGAGCAGGATTTCCACAAGGCCTTTTCTTGCACAGTAGTGTGACGTGACAATAAAGCGCTTCCTGCTTTCCAAGTGTGAGAAACAACTGCTCACTTTGAAAATTTAAAAAGGTTTATTAAACCTTAACAAAAATACAACAAAGGACTGCATAAGGAAAAAGTTACAGCACTGGGAACTGCCCACGTACATACCATGTGGCCAGTTTGTCTTCAAGATGGGTGCTCAGTCTTTTATACCCCTGGGGGTTGCATCAGCCAGCCCTGGCCCCTCCCAAAGTCTGTCAGTCAGCTCTTCTTTGCCATTTATTGCTGGAGACTGCTTTCCTGTAACTTGACTGGAGGTCAGGTGTTGCCATGCCTCAGCCCTAAGCAACAAGCTTTTCCATTCCCGACTGCCCCAGGTAAGGGACACATGTGCACGTCTTCTTTTTACCTGTCCTACACAACCCAGGCTGTCTGATGGTCACAATACAGGGGGGAAAGGGAACTATGGGGCGAACAGAGGACGTCTAAACTACAATAACATAATTATACATCACTAAAGCTTTTTCTTAATATTCCCACAATAGTTATCCTTTAATTGCGAGAGCCAATCATCTCATTATCCTTCTATAACACAAGCATGCCCCAGCTGCCATTCCAGACAAAGGCAAGGAGGAGAAGCTCACACTTGCTAAACTGCACATGTGACACTGCAGAGTTGGTGTTATGACTGAAGAAATTCCATTGTCTTGGCTTTGTAGGGTTAATACAGTGGCAAAGACCGATCACCTTGCGTGGGTGCTGTCACGATCCACTAGCACAAGTGGGGGCTGTGATGGTTCGTTAACTCATCTCAGAGTACAAAAAAACAACATAGAGGGGAGTTCAGTATTAATAAAAACAAATGCACCTTTTATTGAGTGCCCACAGCAATGCAATAGAGGGATTAGAAAAGGAGATAAAGGATAGACAGAGAGAGAGAGAAAGAGGGGAAAGTATAGAGGTACCAATGGAGAGACGAAATCCTCATGGTCTGGCCAATAGAATCTGTCTTGTCATATCAGGGAGAATCTCAAAGTCTTGGTTAATTCAGGGCCTATTATAGTCCTCTGCTGAGAGGGGAACAAGTAAAAGACAATGGAGAATAAGTCTATTGAAACTGCTGAGGGGGAATAAACACAATGAAGAATAACTGTATTGAAGCCATCGAGGGGGAACAGGTCATGCACGCAGCAGTGAGTAAGAGCAATTGTCTTCTTGGTCCAACGACCACACCTGCAGGCAACACTTGGCAAACATCTCGCTATGGTCATGCCAACCCCTGCTGTGTTAAAATTATAGGGGTCTCAGTCTCAGTCCTTGGGAGGGGGCTTTAATCTCCGTTTGTCACGGTGGTCGTGAACCAGATAAAGGATTTTCCGTGAGGGACCACCAAAGTTACCCCAGAAAGTTCATTTGGCCAAGAGGTGGGGAAATTCATGGGCCATTGTCATGAAGCAGGTGCAAGCATATAGGGCGAGTCATTCCTTTGCCAGCCCCTGCTCAAAGCAGTGTACCATGGCAGCACTGCCAACACAGCTGTGAACAATAACTTGGTGAGCATCCACCTCAACCAGGCCAGAAATCCAGGGAGAGTCCTCAGGGTCCCGGTGTTATAGATGGATAATGAGATGGCTCTTGCAATTAAAGGATAACTATTGTGGGAATATTAAGAAAAAGCTTTAGTGATGTATAGTTATGTTATTGTAGTTTAAACGTCCTCTGTTAATAAACCTTTTTAAATTTTCAAAGTGAGCAGCTGTTTCTCACACCGGTCTCTGCCCTTGCAATGGTCGTGAGGCAAATGAGGAAAAACTGGGACCATCTCTGACAGGTGCTGGGAGCGTGCACCCTTCCTCCCCGGAATGGGAGCCAATGCCACCCCAGGGAGTCGCACTGCTGTGACACACTGCCCCCTGCAGCCGCCGGGCGGCACTGCAGCCTCTCCGCCTCCACAGCTGCCAGAGTGCCCTCTGCTGGCTGCCAGTGTAACCACACCGCAGCGGACTTGGCTTCACGGGCGGGAAAATGCCGTTAATGCGTTTTCTTCTTTGTGCTCGTTGCTGATGTTGATGTGCTTGTTTTTTTCGTCTTGTTTTTTAGAGATACATACATAGATAGATATACATATGAGAGAAATGCTACTAACTTCGAAAAATTTAGAAAGGTTTATTAAAACCTTATCAAAAAGACAACAGAAGATAGAATAGAGAAACTATTACGGCACCAGGAGTAAAGGATCTTTCCCACCATGTGCTCACCCACACAAAGGGGGTTTCGCCTTTTAACCCTTTAGCCCCTCCCAAAATCCTGTCCATCGACTCCTTCTTCACTGTCCAGTGGTGGAGATCACTGCCTGACACCTTGATTGGAGCTCAGGTGCTGCCATGGTAACAAGTGACCCTCCCAAATGCCCAAAACCCTGATAACAATGCAAGGGGGGTAAAACACAACTATAAATCTATAAAACTTATCTTAATAGATATACATGATATCTGCATTTTAATTGTGAGAGTCAATCATCACATTACTCAACTATCACACACAGAATAGAAAAAAACTATTATTCATTTTCCCATTCCTTTGCGGGGAAGCCATGTATTTCATAGTCATTAAAATTTTAGATGAAGGGGGTCATCTTTCCGTTCCAGGGAGGGCCACACCAGGGCCCTTGCCCTTTTTGGAATACTACTATGCTTTAAAGCAATAAAAAGAGCTGAGAAGTAAAACAAAACAAAAATCAGAAAAGTCAACTAGGTGAAAATATGAAAAGATAATGCTTGGAGAAGATGTACAATTTCAATTAGGTGACATCTTCCACATATTTCTGTGAAAAAATATCCAATGATGTTACTGTATCCTCACAAAAACCACTTTACTTCTCAAAGGCTATAAACTGTCTTTTCACATCTGTTCCTGCACTGACATCAGAACTCTGGTGGCTGCCTTCAAAAATATAAAGTAAAAAACATGTTCCTGACTGCACAGAACCTTATAAAACCAGACAGATTAATGTGGCCATAAGCCAAAGCAAACCAGACAAAACCACAGAATAAAGGAGAGGTACAGAATCACAAAAAATCCCAGGTGAAGCATTTTTAACCGTACTAAACTGAAGGGCATGGATGCGTTTCTGTGGAGAACCCAACAGAACTGATCATGAAACAACATAACCAGAAAATCCCAATTTTCTATCTGTCTATTTATGTCATCATTTCGAATAACAAAAACCAACAGAGACAGCCCTATGATGATGATTATACTGCTGCAAAACTTCTACACAGAGCCCATGGTTCATAAATTAAATTCCAAAAAGGCTGTAGATCTTTTAATTTCTTAGCATCTGTAATACTCTCAAAAAGGTTCCAAACAATCAGTTAATGTGACAGTTATTTTTGCAATGACACTGAATTTTCTGCAGCAAAAAATTACCCAAAACCTTTTCATAAAACAAAGCAGGGAAATAAAATCAACTTGAATTTTCATCTTACCAGAATTCAAGTCTTCTGCATTTCTTCTTCCAGTACAGGCAGCTTCATTAGCTAACTTGGTGCTCTTCTGTCTCTTGTCAGGTGGTAGGTAGTCATCATCATCTTCTTTAAGAAAAAAAAAAAGAAAAAAAATGCTTTTTTGTCCAAGGAACTCGAGTGCAGCACTGAAACAGCCTTGAATTTAAAAACTCTACTAAAATAAAGGAACTGTGTTTATCAGGGCAACAAATTTTGCAACACATTACGAACATGAGTAACTTCAGAAAGATCCACTTCTTAACTGTGAAAGGAACGACTTGTTCCTTCAAAAGGGCCTGTGCAAAGCACAAGAGAGCAAAGAACAAAGCTCCTCCTGTACTTCCTAAGGAAAACAACATTGTCTTCTGAAACATGACTGGGCATCACGTGATCATAAAACAACAATGCAACAGCAAAAGGAATCGCAGAATAAATTGTGCAGATATGGAATACCTTTGTTATCTAACTGGCAGCAGTATCATTCCACTAGTAGATCACAAAAGAAAGCACCTATGTTTTTTGTTGAAAACCTCAAATGTTCTAAACACACATTATAAACCAGTTTAAAACTAATGGGTGCCAATGAAATTCATCAAACAGGTCAAATCTGCCTTAAACACACACAAGTGAACAGACAGGAGAACAGCAAACCTAGCAATGTGTCAGAGAGCTGCTACTCAGCCTGGCACTTCCCAATCCACCCTGATCTTCCTTAAGCTCATGAGCTTTTGAGGCTGCCCAATTAACAGTACCTCCAACCTCAGAGAGAACAAACGGGTAGAGCAGACTAAGAAAACTAATTTCACATGCACAAAACCATGCACCCACGTCACCAAGGGTATGGTTTACTTAGCAAGAATAACAACACATATTGACAGATCTTGTTCCAATTCACTTCTGTTATACTCTGTCACAGAAAACCTTTCCAGAGCACTTTTACTGCTGTGGTAAAGGCCTTTACATATAAGCAGAACTCAATGACTCTTCTCATATCAAATTTTCTGTTGAGGTAACATTGCAGTTATTTCCATGCTGCATTGTAAAATGGTGAAAGCAATGCCAGAAGTGTCCTCTTTCTCACAAATGCTCTGCCTACTTTACAATTTGCTGACTGGGTGCTCTTAGTCTAATTCCACAAGCAAGCACTGCAAAAGCCCATCTCAGCAGTGTTTTAAAGCAGCTCCAGGACACTCATTCACAAACACAACACAGGTCACCTCCTACCTAGATCCTAGCATGAGGACAGCAGGGACACTGCTTAACAGCTCTAGAGCCACTTGGATGACAACGGGAACTGCTCAGTGCAAAGGTGTGGATCTCACAGTTATCAATATTAGACAGACACCATGAGGCTCCACTTACACCACCTGCAGCACTGCCTTTCTGTTCTGGCACCATTCTTCCCAGAAGCATTGCTTAACTACAAATGTTACATCTAACTACAATGTGGTTAAAAAGCAATGGGTTCTCCAGAATGAAGGAATGTTACAACATCTTCTCCGCTCAATGGGCATTTTTTATTAACAACACTTGAAAATTATGCAAAAGATACAAATTGTTGTCAGGCATCATTTCAAAACCAGCCCACCAAATCCAACATGCTTCAGTATATTGTGGTTTTCAAAAACTTCTCTACCAGATTCGTTTACCAAGCAGTGCACAATCCAAATTACATTCAACACCAGCACGCAACTCTCTTCATTCACTGTGAAGTAATTCAGGCTTTGCAAAACACATTCTAGATAGAAAAATGCCCAACCAACTGAAATTCAGGACCCATGGTACTGACCTTCTATGGTGACCTCAACCTCAGGTTTCTCGCTTATTTCTGGTAAGTCATGGTGGGAGGCCTCTGAAAGGGAAAAACAGGACAGTTGAATGATGAACATGGACAAGATTTTCAACCAAACACTCCATGCCTTTGCATCTAAACCATATAGGTAAAACCTTATGAAACAAGGGCCTTGTTACCCTTGTAAAATCATGGCTCAGGCCTGCTACTTCAGCTAAGCAGAAAAGGACTATGGCAAAGTGACAGAGGTGCATTGGAGGCAGAAAAGAAGTTATATAACCATGACGTGCTCACACTGTGGTTGGGGTGGTTGGTTGAAATAGATCTGTTATACCAAAATAGAATGTAACAGATAATGGGTTACCTGCTTAAAAAAGGCCTGTTTTTTGCAATAAACATCTCTGCTTTGCATCTGCCTGGAGACTCTGCATCACTTCGCTTTGTGCAATTTATCCTCACAAAATAAAATTATACCTCTCATAGGCTCTAACTGTATTTCCACATCTTTTCCTTCACTGTTATCAGAACTCTAGTAGCTGCCTTTAAAAACATGAAGTAAAAAACATATTCCTGACTGCACAGAACCTTATAAAAGCAGACAGATTAAAGCGTCCACAAAACCAAACCAAATCTAACCACAGAATGAAGGAGAGGTACAGGATCACAAAAAATCCCAGATGAAGCATCTTTGAGCAGGCTAAACTGAAGAGCATGGATGTGTTTCTGTGGAGAGCACAACAGGAGGGATCATGAAAGAACACAACCGGAAAATCCCAAGTTTCTGTGTGCCTATTTACGTCATCATATCAAATAACAAAAAACAACCAAGGTAGCTAATGGTGATGACTATACTGCTGCAATACATCGACACAGACACCATGGAGCTTACATGAAATCCCAAAAATGGTTCTTTTTTAGCCTAATCCTGTCAAAAAGGTTCTAAGCGATCAGTTGATGTGACAGTTATTTTTGCAACTATACTGAACTTTTTGGCACCACAAAATCACCCAAAACTTTTTCATAAAACACAGCAGGGAGACAAAACCATCTTTAATTTTCCTCTTACTAAAATTAAATTCTTCTGCATTTCTTCTCCCAGTACTGGCAGCTTCAGCAGCCGAACTGGGGCTCCTCAGGATCCCTTCACTGGGCAGATAGTCATCATCACCGTCATTATCATCACCAACATCAACATCATCTTTAAGAAAGAAAAAAACCAAACAATTGGTTTTATGTCAAGGGAACTCGTGTGCACCACAGGAACTGCTTTGAATTTCAGAACTAAAACAGAATTAAGGAACTCTGCCTATCAGGACAACAAATTTTGCAACAAATTAATTAACTGAGTAACTTCAGAAAGCTCCAGTTCTTACCTATGAAGGAACAACTTGTTCCTTCAAAAGGGCCTGTGCAAAGCACGAGAAAGCAAAGAACAAAGCTGCTCCTGTACTTCCCAAGGAAAACAACATTGCCTTCTGAAACATGACTGGGCATCACATGATCGTAAAACAACCATGCAACACCAAAAGGAATCACAGAATAAATTGTGCAGATATGGAATACCTTTGTTATCTAACTGGGACTAATATAATTTACTAGTAGATCTCAAAAGACAGTAACGATGTTTCGTCTTGAAGAGCTCAAATGTTCTAAACCCACTTTCAAACCAGTAAAAAAACAATGGGAACCAATGAAATTCATTAAACAGCTCAACTCTGCCTTAAACACACAAAAGTGGACAGACAGAAGAACAGCAGGGACACTGCTTAGCAGCTTTAGAGCCATTTATATGAAAAAGGAAGCTGGTCAGTGCAAAGGTGTGGATCTCACAGTTATCAATATTAGACAGACACCATGAGGCTCCACTTACACCACCTGCAGCACTGCCTTTCTGTTCTGGCACCATTCTTCCCAGAAGCATTGCTTAACTACAAATGTTACATCTAACTACAATGTGGTTATAAACCAATGTGTTCTCCAGAATGAAGGAATGTCATAACATCTTCAGTGTTCAATGAATATTTTCATTACCAACACCTGAAAATTACACCAAGGGCTATAAATTGCTGTCAGGCATCATTTCAAAACCATTCCAGCACTCCAATATGCTTCAGTGTATTGTGATTTTCTAATACTTCTCCAGCAGATTAGTTTACCAAGCAGTGCACAATCCAAATTACACTCAACACCAGCACACAATTCTCTTCATTCATTACCAAGTAATTCAGGCTTTGGAAAACACATTCTGGGTGGAAAAATGCGTGAAATCAATGATGTGGGGAACTGACCTTCGTTACTGAACTCAGCCTCAGAATCCTCACTTGTGTCTGACAAGTCAGGCTGGGAGGGCTCTGAAAGGGAAAAAAGAAGAATGCTGAATGATGGACATGGACAAGATTTTCAACCAAACACTCCATGCCTTTGCATCTAAACCAACATTGTCAAGGAAGCCCCTTGCACTCAGAACATGCAACAAAAATAGAAGCAAAGATATTTTACCATGAGCCTTTGAGCAATTCCAGACAAAGGCAAGGAGGTGAGGATTACACTTGCTGAACTGCACAGGCTACACTGCACAGCTGCTGCTATGACTGAAGGAAATTCCAGTGTCCTGGCTTTGTAGGCTTAATACAATCATAAGTATATTCCCCTCTCTTACCCAGAACTACTGAAAATATAAACAAAGGCTGCCCGTCCCCACAAATTAGGTATTTTTTTACCAGCTCCACAGACTCATGGATACTGCACTATGATGACTTCCATAACAGGCTGCAAGGGCAACAATCAAACATGGGAGGGATATTCATGATCACAATGCTTTTGTTGGGGCAGAGTGCACCAACAACACAAGCAGGATTCGCCAATCAACACTCAGTGTGAGAAAGAGCAATTTATACTTAACTGCACTACAGTTAAACAAAGTGAAGCTAATTGTATCAGAAACCCAATCCAAATTAAGTAGCAGTGCATGAAGGAACATATTTTAGTTATTCTGTGAGACTAAAGCTCTACTTGTGCATTTTGAAGAGTATTTTCCTTTAGATCTCTCTATGCTTAAGTATTATACCATGCTGATGGTTTCCTTTTCAAATATAAAGTAAAAAGATACCACAGTCAAAATACATAAGAAATTGTTAACAATTTTTAATCCTTACTATTTAAAGTAAGGATTTTCACAGGAGAAGTTCCAGAATTATTTTGTTAATGTGAAAAAGTCTCAGAAGACCCTTTTCCCATCTTAGAATTTATGGTAGCAGGATCATTCTGACCTTACAATGAAATGAGTGTTAAATGCAGGTCAATATTTTCTAGTCTCTGCAAATGGGCAATCTAATACTTTTAATGTAAACTGTAAACAGTTGAAAAAAATTGCACCATTTTTTTCTGTAAAGGCATTTTGGCTATTACAGAGTTTTGGTAAGGTACTGCTTTGACTAACACAGACTTTTGTATTTATTTATTTATGTGCTCATTCACCTCACACTCAACTGAAAAGCATAGTGAAGTTGCACTTATAATTTATAAAGCAGAGTTCTATTAAACTCTATAAGTCATTATGAAACAGACTGAATTTCTTGAGAAACATACCAATTTACACAAACAACTAGTTCTTTAGAGTGATCAACCTGATGCTCCTCTTTGAATTTAGAAAAGGAAGAAATTAAGTTCCCACCTACATGTCTGTCTACTTGGACAGCTGGAAAGTAAAGCAACTGTAATTCTTATTTCTATTCATGTTTAAGTTCCAATACCCTCAGTTTTATGGCAAATCAAGTAGCTAAGCTGTGAAAAGCAAAACTCACACACTAATTTCTAAAACAGATGTGAGGAAAAAATACAAGCAAAATATCTACCTGTGTAACTTTTTTCAGGAGCAATTTTTTCTTCTTTCTCTGATGTTTTGGAAGGGCCTGCTTGAGAACAAGAGAGAACAGTTTTTAAGGGTGTCTCACAACAAACACATACTTCCAGCCCATACAGGAACTTGCCAAGTAACTTTTAATTTCCTATATTATGTGCTCACTTCATACTTTCTGTAATGGGAAATTTTGGAAAGACACTGTTAAATATTAAATATTTATAAAACCTTACTTACTTGGTTCAATAGACTAAAAATGGGGTTCATGGCAGCACTGGACTACTGAACAGTCAAGACACGCATGCTGAACAGCAGGTTTCAACTAGTAAACTAATTTTTAAAAAGAAATGTTGATGCTTCTGCCTTTCTTCAATGATACTTTAATCAGCTAGATCTTTTTCCTGTTCATTAAAGTTTATATTCCTAAGGAGTATTCTCTGACTTCAACATTCCTACCTACATTTAATACATAAATTCATGGGGATTAAAGTAATTTATGACACTCCGAGGCTGCTTACTTTTCATTACAACAGTTCTTTTGAAGACTACAGCCTGGTTAAAAAAAAATACTGTGCAGAAAGCAGCACAGAAACTACACTTAACAGATTAACACTCCTAAAATCCTACTGCTTGCTGCTGCAGCTCTCCTGCAGCTATGCAGGGGGTGAGCTGCTTACAGCACAAACAACAGCACGCTGAGCAAGAGGCCATTCTATACCACAGAAATAGCACAGGTTTCCCATACCATGGAAGACCTGCCTATGTGTGGCAAACAGGACTAACTGGAACTGACTGGTTTGGGCTAATTGTTCTGTGTAAATCCAATAATTTCTGTGTGCATTTGCAAAAGCAATCTGCAGAAGCTCAGCTGATCAGAAATTCTAGTTGTTTAGAGATATGTGCATAAGTGTATCAGCAAGAGTATTAATAGTGCCACAACAGAAAAGCCACTGTTAATTACTAAGGCAATGAAATATTCTAAACTCTATTTCATCTGCACAGTAAGAAAGAAAATATAGAAAAGACTATTGTCACAATCAGACTTTGTAAGTATTTCAGTTAACTGAAAGTACATATACAATGTCAAATAAGTGCATATTTAAGTATTAAAGAAAATAATGATAATTAGGTGGTTACAATAAAGCTAACTTGAACAGTTCTGCCTAATTTGATTATTCAGATTTTCAAAGAGATTAAAAATGAACAGCATTTCAAGTGAGGACTTATGCAAAGTTCTTTGCTTGAAACACATTTCTTTCAGCAAGTGCTGCTTAGATCTGCTCCTGCCACTTTTCTTTACCCCCTTTTTTTAAATCTGTTTACTTCAGAGGAGCTCCCTGATTTTGTTCAAAACACAGCTCCCAAAGACTGATGTTGGCACAGCTGAGACCATAGTCCAAAGATGGAGAAAAACAGGAAGGAAAAGGAGCCAGAGACACTGGTGGTCCTCCAGGCCTCAGCAGAAAGAATTCTCATACCAACAGTGTCATCTGCAACTGTTAAGGGTGAATAGAACACAACCCCCCTGGATGTGCTGAAAATGTCTCCATGGACTAAATTTGCTTTTATTTAAATCGGCATATTCAGCAGATGCACCCAGTCAGGTTTGTCATTTCCTAAGAACTTCTGTGATCATGCAATTACTATAATTCATAAGGCACTGACACACAGAAGTATGCATCCCACTGTAACCAAGTATCTCAAATTATGCACATAGTTTTCCATTTATTCCTTAATTCAGAAATCCTGACAGGATTGTTTTACCCCCATATTCTGAAGTATTCTCTATATTGCATTACCTTTGTACCAAATACATGCTGTGACAGCAGTAGAAAAGGAAAACTAATAGTCTCTCACGCATTTAAACTTGAAGAAATATTTCCCTAGTTAGAAAGATATACTTAGTAGATTTACAGCCCTTGGGATTAAGCACAGATAATTCAGTCCTTTTATCTGTAATATTGATAAAAACTACAATACATGTAGTAAAACTATTAGATTTTTTTTCAAAAGTGACCAACACAGATTATTTCATGAAACTTGAACATTTTTTCCATATTAAGAAGCTTGGACAGAGGGAAAAAACAGTATGAAGAAGTTGTTTCAGAAATTAAAACATGTCAAACAATAGATTCTGCTATCCTAATTTAGTAAAGGTTAGAAAATTAAATTTAAAAGAGTTCTACCACCAAGAGATATCAATAAAAACAGATACATTTCCACTTTACTGCATTAATGCACACAACAGGCAGAAATACACAGATATGAAATAACCAAGGAAAGCAAAAATCAAGTACAGTGGCAACCAGACCAAAAGAAGTTCCATCCAGAAATAGAGATATGAAAAAAAAAAAAAATCAAAAAACAGAAAAACACCCAAAACTCAAGAAAGAAGAACTAAATTCTACCGGTGAAGGTAGGATGTAGGAGGAGGGATGGACACAGAAGTGGGAGATTTAATGACTAAAACCACAGGACACCTTAGAAGTAAAATCTTTCAGTATGATTATGTCTTGGAATCTGAACTTCAGATGTGTAGGCAGAGCTAAGCAGTTTCACCTTGAACCAGAGAAAGCAGAGGTATGCTCTTCAGCTAACAGCCAGCTCTCTTACACAGCACAGGCCCTTGGGAACTCTCTAACACTCACACCAAAACTTGGTCTTTCATGAGCAGATAAATAAATACATGACCAATCACTGCACCCAAAGCATGTGCTTGGTCTAAGATTCAGCAGCGCAGTGGAACCCCTGTAAGAGATTGCTGTGGGCATAAATTGAAACTCCTGAAATGTCTGTTACAAATAGGTGATTTTTCACATTCTAACAAATCTATTAAAACCAAGAGTAGGTGTTACTCCCTCAACAGTCACAGCTATTCTTTCTGTCTACCTACCCACACACCTATTTACTTACACTGATTCCAAACCTCTCAGCCTCAGCTTCTAATGGATTATGTCCTAATGTCCTAACATCACACAGCCAAACCTGTCCCACTTGGCAGAAGGAATGGATTTGTCACCTCACGGATACGCAGTGCTCACTTTTCTGGCCTTTTTATAGGTTACCCATGTAGTAGCAATGTGAACTAGATGTGATTCCCTTTAGGAAGCACAACATTGTGCTCAATATGTATTCTGGAATTTCCTGGTTTAAGATAATATCTACACTCAGTGTTACATGCCAGCCTAACTTCACAGATTTAGCTCCATTAAAATGGACATTACGTCTAGTATCCTGAAAGATCTCCAAAGGAGAAATATTTTGTTGTTAGACACATACTAACAGACATTGATTACTTTTAAGGTTTCAGAGTGAGAATAAATGCAAAGTTTACATTCATATTTTGGGCTTTTTCTTTGTAGAAGACGACATTTTCAATCTCATTTGGGTTTGGATGTATGTCCTGTATTTTAACTGCCTCACTGACACTGTCAAAAATTCCAAAACTGACAGCACTGTTCAACTACATGGTGTTTTAAAGAGAAAAGCTGTTAGGCAGTTTTTTACTCACTTCTAGGTGTTTTATAAACTGAACCAGGCGATTCACAGGACAGACTGTTTACAGCCTTTTCCTTCTGCTTCCATTTTTCTTCGTTTTAAATTCAAGGCATCAGTGCAGACCTACATTCACAAAATTTACAGGATAACATGCCACTTTTACAAAGTGTTTGGTCTTAAGTCAGCAAATAATTCAGTTCTGTATGCCACCAAAAACCCTGCTTTATCCTGTGATGATAATGCACAGAACATTCAGCACTCACTCAGCAGTGTTACACTTCTGAGCCCCAAAGGTTTGTTTTTATACAGGACAAATGGGGTATTCTCAAATCTGAAAATACATCTGACTCTGGAGAAATGATTATTTAATTTGTTAATTTCTAGTAAAAATACTAAATTATATTTAAACCACTAAACCAAGAAACAGCATTCTCAGTTATGTTTCTTTTCATAAGAGCCGTAGTAACTGATACTTACAGGTAAGGCACAAGCAAGAATACTAGCTAATATAGCTGGAATGCTCCAGGATGTGTCACTTAATCCTGATGATCAGTACTCATTCCTTCTCCTCATTTAGTCAATCATTAAAATCTGGACCTTTTTGCCGGAACAGGTTGTCTTTGGTCTCCCCCAAAATTCAACACTGCAGTAACCTTCACATTTGTCCTGGACACTTGGAAAAAACATCCACTGCCATAGTGTTTGTACTAGTTTGAAAGCAAACCAGTGGGAAATTCCAAGTCAGAACAACCATTTAATAGGAAAATTAAAATAAAAAGAGAAAACACTGGCTTAAACTGACAGAGAATACAACATGATACCCTGTGGTCAGGGTGGTGGTAGCAGTGCAATTGAATGGTGGCTGCAGATCTGTTGGAGTGATAGATGTGGTTCTGTTGAAGCAGTGTTCCTGTAGAAGGGTCTGGTCTTCCTCTGAAGGTCCAGTGGTGGTTATGGAGCTCTTGTCCTCTAGGAATTCAGTAGGTAAGGCTACCCATGGTGTTCCAAGCCTCAGATTATATCCAGGTAGGAATGCTTGGTTTCTCCCCCTGGGCAGAGCATCTCACAATGGGATGATGTAATTTATGAGTCATGCAGTGAGATTTGATGGCCCATTAACAGAGACAGACCCCAGAGTTATGAGGGATGAGTCATGCAGGAGATAAGGAACACTGCCCCACCTGTTCTAACAGCTTATGAAGATGTAATAGAATACATACTTTTGGCTGCATCTTGCTTTGCAACTTAAGACAGTTCTAGAGCCCACTGACAGCAAACTGCCCCTTATTCTCTGTCAATACACCCACATGAAGTTTTAGATGGCTGAAGTCCTTACTTCTCAGTCATCTTACTGTGTACTGCTAAAACAATTCTGAATTTAGTAATTCAGTATTAACTCATAGCAACATCTAAATGGTGCAACCTTCAACCGAGATGAGAAGAACATGCACCCACAGATATAATTTTCCCTCTTTGATTAACAGGAAGAGGTAGTGTGCCACGCAGGCACACAGCACATTGATCAGCATTACAGATCTTAGAGAGGAAGCACTTAAGAGAAAAAATACAACCATGAAATTTTATCAGTGAATAATTTTCTCCAGGAAGCCCAAGCAGATTGCTATGCTCTAACACTTAAGTTGTTTCTTCTCAGAAATAGATAAGCCTGGCTTTTGCTGTAGGTTATTTTTAGCAAAACTTATTACCTTATCTGTTTTCTTTATTTTGTAGCACATCTCTCCAAAGGCAATGCTGGGGCAGACTGTCATTCCTCAGGAACACCCCTCAGAATAATCACTTTTTAAAGGTTCACTTCTGGTACAGCACCACAACCCACACACAAACACCTATGTGACTCCAGAATTTATAGCTCTATAGTCTGGACACCGTTTGGCTTGAATCAGAGTGCTAGCTACAGGAAGAAGGAAGGGGAAGCTGCTTTACTTGTCTAGTCAGCGTGACTTGACATGAAAGAGAAAACATCTTTTAGCTCACAGCACTCCATCACTTCTGCCAATATACTCAGTTCTGTTGTGCTTTAAATGCCATTTTGGACAACTACACTGCAGAGAGGAGTTAACCATCAAGCACCACTTTATCAAAAAGAGATACATATTTTTCTCCATCAATCAGAAGATTTAAATTTAGAGTTCTGTGAAAGACAACAGAAATCCCCCCTGTAAATGTGCTTAGACTTCACTCTGGAAGCATACTGCATGACTTGGATTTTTCACCTGCAATGCAATGGATACTATTTTGTAAAGAAGCTATTTCAGCGCAGAGTCCCTTCAGATGGCATTGAGTTACACTGTGGGCTATTGCCCAAATTCGGACATCATTTGTATGCATGAAATGGAAAACCACAATGGGGATAAAAAGCAAAAGGATGAGAAGACTTGGCATTGCAAAGACCAGTGATTGTCTTCACACCAGTATCTACTTTTACTACATTAAATCATGCCTGTAAACGACTAATTTGCCTAGCCTGTAAGCCTCCAAGGCTAGGCAATGTACACATATGAAAAGCAGATAATCCTAACACCTTTCCAGTTCTGCACTCAAAGGGTGACACTTTGCTATGCTATGGTTGAGATCTCTGAACGATGCTCTTATGTTTCTTGAGATGTAAGTATTGATTCCACATCCCCATAGTTAGTTATTAAAGCACATTAGAAAATAGTCTCAAGAATCTTCTTGTCTGAACACACACAAAATGTTATCATAATAATATATAATATTGCAAAATGAAGGGATGTGCTGTTTTACACTTCACTGTTGAACACGTAACTGTTATTGAGAGGTGAGTGGCAGCTTGCCCATATTTCTTTGTATTACTCAATTAACGTAATGACAAGTACATGTAAGTTGAAATTATAAATTTAAGGTTTTAGCTATTTTATATTGCCATTAACAGTCACAATTTCTTAATTACTGTTCATGTCAACATAAAGAAAAAACAATTTCTGTTCTTTCCTCGCCGAGGTGAATGTGTAAGCTGGATACAAAGAGGTGAGGCAAAGCAACTGGGAAAAAATTTAAAACATACATGGAGGCTGAGCCATGGGCCTCAAATATTGTTATGCTTTGTCCACATAAATAAACCATTCAATACAATTTTGACATATATTTTTCATTCCATACAAGAGAAGTGATTGATACACTTCCAATCACAGAGTCATAGAATGGCTCATTATATGATGCACAGTGTATAAAAGTTACTGAAACTTTAAACTAAAGAAAAAATTCAAGCAGTGCTCTAGAAAACATCACTATAAAGGTTTGTTTCCTGTTTAACAAAGTCATTGAATTATTGAATCTGCACATTGTACCCTCAGAAAAATACATCAAGCAGTTTCAAAAGACTCATGGAACTTCTTCAGGCCAAACACACACATTTGGGTTTGGAATTAAGTTGTTCTCTAGGTCTTCTGTTATTCTTCATAATAACTTACATGATAGGCAGCATGGAAATGCTGTATCCTAACAGTGCTAAGTAATTGCATGTTTACTGACCAAAATCACTAAAAAGAGAGGCATGGAGGGATCAACACTTAGGCAACCAATCATTTCATGAGATAAACACATATGAAAATTAGTATAATTACCTGGAGTATTAAATTGATAGTAGTTAGGATCATCTCTTTCCTGCTTCATTGTTACTGTTGACATTTTGGAAGAAATTCCTGTAGAAGCAACAAAGGAATCAAATATGGAAACCAATAATAAGCAGGTTCTTTAAACAAAACAAACAAAAGCACCCACCATGATCCTCGTTTGTCTCTATTAAAAAAAAAAAAAAGAAAAAAAAAAAAAAAGAAAAGAAAAAAAGGAAAAAACCACAAAATGTTACACATTTGTTGAGCTAAAACAATGGTAACAAAGTTATCTAACCAGCACGTTTCTTATGTTTCAGTTTGGTCAACCCCAGAAATGATCTAGGATTAAATACCTCCCCACAAACTAGGCTTCCCTGAAGATGCTGTCTAAGATCTGAAGAATATTTTTTAAATGGGCTCCTTCCTCTTTGCATGCTACCACAAGAAAAAAATATATTTTATCACTCATTGTGCTGAAAGTCCTGGAAGAGCTCCTGCTCACTTTTCTGTGAAAATTACTTAAAATGTCTAAAAAGCAGCACTGGAAAGAGTCTGGGACAGACTTGACAAAAAGTTCACATTAAGGCTTTGTGTATGTTAAGCCGAACATAAACCACAAATTTAAAATTGTGAAGCACAAATAACAAGAGCAAAAAGCTGGACTACATATGAAAACTAAATTCTAATAGGAAAGTGAGCAGTGCAGCTCAACCCAGCAAAAGGGAAAGTCACCAGTTTATCCCCCAGCACACCTGCTTCCTCACTGGCTTTAATGGGATTACCTATGCCTTTATCTCCCAGCACACACTTCAGCATTAGTCTGCCACAGATCACAGTGCCTTGGGGAATCATCTGCTACCTGCAGAGCAGCTTAGGAATAATCTGGCAATTTTTAAATAACACATCTTGTTATTCATGAGTTTTTTACTTCTATTTTAGCTACAAAATAGATATTTTTTTCATTTTCAATATTTTAGGAATATTAACAAATAAATTCTTCTCTAAATTACATAAAGATAAATTTAGTTTACAATGTATTACAAATTTTTGTAATTTGTAATTTCCCTCTTGAAATGGAAGCATTTGGCTTGGGTTCAATATTTGATAAAAACTCCAACTGAAAAACGGACAGTTTCAAGGAAAGAAACGTTATTTCATCTCACCAAGGATGTCTTTTTGCTCCTATTCTTTTTTTTTTTTTTTTTTTTGGAGCTTTTTTCCCCCTGTCTTTGCTTAAGTTCAGTCTTCTAACAAAACATGGCTTTTTCTTTTTTTTTTTTTTTTTCTGCAAATTAAGACAAAATTTTGAACATACCAGAATCCTTGCTTGGTTCCGTTTTCACATTAACAGGTGGACAACTATAAAATTAAGCAAATGAAACAGAATAACATTATTAAAAACAAACATTAGATTTCTGGAAAGTTCTTAAAGCTTTATAGCTTGTTAAGCAAAATCAATCTCTCAGATTTTTTTCTAACAAGAACATAGAATTAAAAACCCCTACATATTGGCTTATCTAATCTTTTACAACTGAATTGTCAGCAATCTCCTATTCCTACATTTTTTTGAGGCATACATAATATTCAGATCATGTTTAGCATTTAATGAGAGGTAAACACAGAAGTACATAAAACTGATCCCTGCTTTTACATTAAAATTTTTTTGACATATTACAGATATAATATCTTCATTTACTAATTTTTAAAAAATCACTTTCTTCAAATTGAGGAGGGGGAAGGAAGCAACATTACATCTGTTCTCCCTCACTGCTGTACCATAAAACATGGCAAACTTATCCCTGATTAACAGACTGTGTATTAAGAACACCTATTTAAACTAAAGAGAAACTTTGCCATTTGTTTAACTTGTAACAGTTTCCTCACAAATAATGATCAAAAGAAAGAAAAGATTGAGCTTCATGCTTTTTATAATGCCAAGCAAGCAAAAAATTATTCAAAGATCAGCTGGGCAGAAAAAGCACATTGAGACAAAGATAACAACATGAAAATAGATAGTTGATTAAAAAAAACCCCGGACATTATTTTAAATTCACCTTTCACATGGGGGTATAACTGAAGGTGAAGGATCTGTCACATCAGCTTCTGAAAGTTAAAAGACAATATTTGAATTTCCTGTACTCCATTTACTTTAAACTGAAAATATAACATTGATTTCACAAAGCAAAAGTCTGTTCACATTTTACAAGCATATATGCATATTTTTCTTATTCACAGGTAATGAAAGATCCTGTTAAACTGTACTGAAACAGCTTTAGAATGTCACTTATTACACTGAAAACCTACCTTGTATTTTTGATAGAACTATATGATTAACAGAATTTCTATAATATTCCATCTCTAGTCCTCAACCTGACCATAGGCAACACATCTCTAATTTTACTAATCAAGCATCAACTGCTGGCTCTTTCACTTAAAAAATTAAACTCTTCCTTTTTGACTACATTTCTACAGAGATTGCTTCATCGTTTTCATAAAACAAATCCCCACACTTATGCATTTAGCAAGTAAAGGAACATGATACCATAAAAGGAAGAGGAGAAGGGATTTCTCCTAAGCTAGAAGTGAATCTCTCTAGAGTTTTACAATACTCACTGCAGCCCAGAATTTTTCATATATAGAGTCTTCATAGGAACTACAAGACCTAGCCACTTCAGAAGATTAAGTTACTTTTTAAAATTAAATATAACTGCCAAAATCAGCTGGGTAGTGGAACACAAGCACTAGAATGTCTTGGCATCTTCTAAAAACTGAAAGCAGTCCTTCCTATGTTCACTTCTTCTCCTAGGATACTAGACAATTCACATTAAATTGAAATTCAGTATAAAGATGAAGAATTAAACAGAATGGACTTGATCAAGACAAAGAATGAAAGAGGATGAATTATCTCTCATGAGTTGCTCCAGGCAAACACATAAAGGAAAGGTTTATATATAGCAAAGGGTTACTTTGCTATAAGTAAGGCAGCTCACAGTCTAGAAATTTCTGCAGTTTGCCACTTTATTTACATGACCAAATGCTCTACATATATTGCTACCTAAACTCAAATTCCAATCTTTTTCTGTTTAGTCTGAATAAGGATTAACTTACCGATCTGTTTCTTTGGTTCTAGGATAGGCCTGTGGGGAAATATGGGAAGAAAAACTCAGTTTTAGCAAAGACACTGTTAATTACTTGGTAGTGTACATTACAGAGAGAATTCCTGTATAAGAGAAACAGTCTGCAGTGTATTTAATTAAAAATTAAAATTAGTTTTACTTAAGTACAAAACCAAGTTGGACAGACCAGCACAAGAAAGAGAGCAAATAACCTGCTGATACTAAATGAGATCTCTGATTTATTTTCCAAAATCCATTTCAGGGTGGAAACATCATAATTTGATGGATGTTTAACAGTGATTCCTTCAGGCAGGCCCTGCACTATCACAGCAGACTGGTTCCTCTGAATCTCTTCATATGGCACAGGTACTGCTGTTGACTTTCCTAAAGCTTTACCTAGAAAAAAAGAGGAGTTGTTGTGATGTCAAGTTAGCAAAAGAAAGAGTCTCTCATAAACTTTGTAACTTTGGAGAGAACTGGGACAAAAGCAATGTGTGGACATGAATCTTCTCAGAAAACCAAATACTGCTGGCACTAATATGCACTGTGCAATAATCTCAAATCACATCCTACAGAACACATCAAGAAGAACCACTATATGTGTATTTTTTAGGAACAGCTACTAAAAGTTTCTAAAAATAGCAGTGTAGTTGGAAGGCTAAGATCATGCAGTTTTTTCCTCCCAAATGGAATAAAAATTTAAAAATCTAGAACAGCTCTTCAGAAGAATTTAAAGCACCCACCATAGGAAAAGCAGAAAAACTCCTCCACAGACTTTCTAAGAGCCTCCAGCTCCTCAGCATCCACCGTCTGTTTGTTTACAGGTGGTGTAGTCTTTGTTTTCTGCAGTTCTGGAGGCCTGTCTTCTGTAACACCTGGCAGTTATTTATAAAAATAAGACAAGCATAAAATAGTAAGTTATTAGAAGTGCCTAATCCCACCACTTTAGAGATTCTCAAGCAGGAGCCCTGCCAGGAAATTGCAAGAATTTACTTGTATTAGAAGCAAATGCACGCAACTATGTACATAAGCAATGAGCAAATTTACATTTACACCAGAATTATTATATCCTCACTACAATCTTTGCAAATATCACCCCCTGAAGAACATGAATGACAAATTAAGACACACATCCAAGGAGGATTTCTTTGGCATGGAGAGATTGAAAACCCTATTAATGTCACGGGAGGACAATACAGTCAAAATAAAATGCTAAACTGCCAAGAAAAGAAGGACCAACAGAGTCCTTCTAAGTCCTACACCAAGGAAAAGGTAAAATGCCAGCGTGAAGGGTCCCATAGTTCTCTAGTGCTGTGCATGTCATCTTATGCAGCAGTTCTATTATGTCCTGGTTTATTTATTCTGTATGTGCTTTGAAGAACATTTTACAGAAGAGATCTGACTTTTGCCATGACAGCTCATCTCTTTCAAAGGACATTTTGAGTACACACCTCCTACTGCTGTGTAAGCGAAGCTACAAACAAGACATCACGCAAACAGAGAAGATTTCAGCCCTACATCTTGTTCTAGTCTCTGAGCAAAAATCACTGCAAAAGGAGTGAGGAAGAACACTTCCAGTATTAAAAAGCAAACAGAAGCGATGGTTTCAGGTGGCAGCCTTCCTTTCTCATAATTTGAATTCTTGCTAAGATTTACTGAGAATCATCCAGCAACACCAGAGGAAACAACAGAGATATGCTTGCCTACCTTGAAGGAAAGGCAAGGGAGATCTGTGTTCCTTTGTGCAAGAGCATGATCAGTGCTGAAGCTGTGTCATGACTTCACCACCAGCCAGCACAGCAGTAAGCCTGAAACACTGCGATGTGCATCACCAGGACTGCTGGCATCAGAATTCTACACTGACACAAGAAAACAAACATCAGTTTGAACAACTGATTACAAATGGGCTGTGAAATGAGCTGAAGCAGCAATGCTTTTAGTAAAATCACAATTATCATCTTAAAAACTCGTATCTTCATTTCAAAGAGAATCTCATCCTTCCTCTGCAGATCATACGTCTGCTTCGTGCTCTGGAAACCCACCTCCACATGACATTTAGCTTGCCAGCTCTTCAGGCCTGAAACTTTTGCATTCTCTGCAGTATGACAGGGCCTATCAGAACACGAAAAATAATGCAAAACTGGGATATTGTTATATACCTGTAACACAGGTGCTTAATCAATGACCACATTTAAGATTTGCCTGTGGACTTGGGATAAGACATCAACTTCCATTTACAGCTACATCTAATGTAGCTTTTTGAGTGGGCGTTTTTCCTATGTAAGGAACTGATCCGCTGAAAATGCCTTTACTGCCAGCAGCTTCAGAAAGTGTACCCACACTTTCTAAAAATAATAAACAAACCAAAATTAAGATGACAACACTGCCCTCTTCATATGAAAATGAAAAACAGACAGAAGGTGGAGAAATTTTCTTTCTTAACTAGAAGACACCCTTATGGGTTTTTTTCATTACATGATTTTTATGCATTTTCTTAAGGTCACATTACGCATCTGCCTCTCTAATCCCTCCCATAATTGTTGGCCAATTTTAATCAAGACTCACAAACAAGATTAAGTTTCAAATGCAGCAAGAGTTGTAACAGCCCTGCACAACTGATCAAACCTAGCAGGCTTTCACTCCTCCTGGCACTACCCCAATGGACACACGAACCCTTGGAGGCTACACAACTTCACAGGCTCTTCCAAAGCCCTTGCCACAATTACTGGAACCCCAAGCAGGATTCGGGCTACATCTGGGAGGGGATGTCTGGGACATATGCACCAAGATCTGGTGCAGAAGAGGGATGAGGGGGCTATATTTATGGCTCATGAAGGGGGAGGGATAGTTATCTGGTAAAAGAATAGCATTCTGCTATAGTTGTGACCATCCTGTGGAATTAATTTCACTACTCTTCTGGATTCAGGAGGACTACAACTACACAACTCCCAACAACCCTCATTTTGCAATGAGAGTCAATATATGCTTAAGTGTCTTATTTTCTTCAACTGTCCAATGTTTTGGTTCTTCAGAATATCCTTCCCTCCAGGTCTGACAGTCCAGCACCACTTAGCTGGAAAAGGAATCTCCCAGCTGTCCCTGTTCTAAGAACAAATCCAGCACTGTCCTCATCTCACCAAAGACTAAGAAACAAATCAAGCTTTAGCAGAAAAACAATTTACTTAACTGAAACTTCTTCAAAAAAAAAACCAAAAAAACAAGAAGATGAGATGCTCAATAGAGAATCAGGTATCTGAAGCTGACAGATCTCAGGACTCTTCTAGCAAAAGAACTGTCAGTCCCATGGCAGTTAAGGCATCTTAGAACATCAGAAGGTTTTTAATCTGGTGTCTTTCAATCCCTCAGGGAGAGAAAAACAAGAAGTAATTTTAAGAATATGAATGTGACCCCTGCACAGACACTCTGAGAGGCAACTTAAGAGCAACAACAATCTTGTGACACCACTCATATACATGTATTTCATTATTTGTACTTAAGGAAAATTACTGCAATGAAAGAGGGAAAGAAATGGGTGCATAGCTAAAAGCATTTTGCTTTTTTTATAATGTCATTCACTCAATCTGTGAGCTTTTTAAGGCCATCCAGCTTTACAGTTCATTAAATTGGAAAATTTTCTCAAATTAAAGAAAATTCATTTTATAATTATCACAGGATCACTTGAACCACACAAAAAGTCAATCACCTGAAGCAGAATTTAGGAGGAACAAAATTTCAAAAATACTGACTACCTACAGTAATTTTCTGTTTGTTTTTGACTCTGAGGGAACAAGATATGTGGTTTCCAAGGAAATGGGACTGAACTTTCCCCACAGGTTTTTAAACGAGCTGTTAACTTCATACCCCTTAGCTGACTAGGCAGAGACAGAACATTAAAGGTTTGTGGCAATCAAGCCAAGCAACCTAGCTGTACAAGTTACTCAGAAGGATTCAAAGAGACAGAAGCCTAGCTGCAGATCTTCAAGCAGGTCCACAGTCGCCTAGCTTATGGGAAGAATCATTTTACTTGTCTGCAGATGATGGAATACATCCAAGAGGAAACAGATACTCACATACCAAAAAAACATTCTGAGGAGCCAAAACTGAGCAATCTTTCCCATAAAGTCTGTGGAGAACTGCATTCCATTCATTCTTCCTGAGCAGCAGGAATGGCTGTGTTCTTACATTAAGAACACTCAGATTCTGAGCATTCCTGAAACTACAAGAAGTTCTTACAACCTGTGGCTGGGTGGACATGGAGGTACAGGTAAGAAGAATAGAAGACTCTGGCCCAAAGTCTCTAGCAGGACTTGAAGTCAAACTCAGGCCCATACTAGATGCACTGTTAAGGTCAGTGTGGAAACCCAAGGCTATCAGAAGAAAAATGAAGGCTCCAAAAATAAAGGACCTATCCAAGATGAAACACCTACAGGTGCAAGATGTCCCCAATCTCAGGCAAGTGAGCCCACCAAAGGAAAAAGCAGCATGACTGAGAGAGCTGCCAGAAGTTGCAGAAGTAGCAGAATTAAGCTTCTCTGCAACCTACATATTAATGGTGTCGCAGCCAGTACCAGTGGAAATGCTAGCAGAGGCAACTAGGATTCCTGGAGAAGAATTGTCTCCTTGGCAGATGGGATGGAACACATGGTGCTGGGTAAGTATCTTTCAAAATCCAGAACAGATGACCAAAAGTCAGGAAGGTCTTCTGAAAGTTCCCTTCTGATAGGCAAATACAACCTGGGGAAAACTGTCATTCTGAAGTAATGTTTTCTGGAATTATCAACATCCTTCTCAGGGACAAAGGCAAACTACTTCCAGCATCAAGACTCCCCTGAAAGCATGGGAGATGTGCACTTGGTGAAACCATGAAAGCAACGACTCACAACAGTTGACCTTGTTCACACAGATCTATGCTATAATGTTCTGCAATAATCATAATGGAAACACTGTTTTCAAAGTTAATATTCTTTAATCCTATCAGCTTGACAGTACAAAAACACAGCCCAAGAACAAGTATCTTGTAACTGAAATAAAGCAAAAGGTGAAGATTATCGAAACTGATGTAGGATTTAAACACAAGCATGCATCTATAGAAACCACACCTCATACAGCCAAATACAAGCATGCATGAGAAGCCAGTGCTTCCCACTGTACAAAATCTGAAACAGAGATCTAACAAGGAGATCAAACAGCAAATCCCCATAATTTCAGATTCCCTACTAATAGTGAGTCCACTACACAAAGTCCCTGGTATATCAGGGCCCATGATACCACTGTACTGACAATAAAACATAGTACCTAGGTTGTCAGAAAAGTCATTTAAGCAACAAAAACAAAACAAAAAAAGCAACCAGCTGAAAAACTGAACTCCCTCCCCAGTACTCAGATAGCAGTTTTCACAAACAACAGAATATGAAGATTGTCCCTATTAAAAAAAATGAATAAAAAAGAAAAATAAATTGATTCATCTTATACTTGATTCCTCAATTGGGTTACAATTCTACATTTTTTTATCAATTATCTGTTACAACCCAACACTATGGTGACTTTGCTTGGAGTAAATATGTGCACAGAAAGTCACTGTCCATGGCAGTAGGACAAAAAAATCCCAGAGCCCTACGGTCTTAGGCTTCAAGATGTGGCTAGGGGTGTGTATTCTATTCCCATCTATCAGAGCTGGGGCAGTTCTCTGCTGTCCATGGGGCAGTTTTCTTTATCTCTCCCACAGCCAATCCTCCCTCCAGGAGATCTCTCCTGTTCATGGCCAGTGAGTGTCCCTGCATGGCTGATCAAATTCCAGCATCCCATGGGGAGATGCTCCGCCCAGGGCAGGAGCCAAGCATTCCTACCTGGATACAATCTGAGCCTGGAACAGCACAGCAGCCTTTGCCCACTGCATTCCCAGAGGAGCAGCTTTCTCCTGCCCTGCATTGCCAGAGGAAGAGCAGGCCCATCTCCAGCAGCCCTGGAGCTGCAGAGGAAAACTGCAGCCTTGTGCAGGATCCCTGCTCCAGCAGAAGCACAGCTGGCACTGCAGGAGGGCTGAGCCCCCATGGGATGGGACTGTGCCACCACCCTGACACACAGGGGTCAGGGCCTGTTCTGACTCTGGCAGGGTTGGTTTTGGGGTTTTTTTTTGTACTTTTGTATTTTAGTTTTTCCTAGCAAAGGACTATTATTCCTAGTCCAATATCTTTGCCTGAGAGCTCCTTAATTTCAATATTACAGTAAATCAGAGGGAAGGTGGTTACATTTTCCATTTTAAGGGAGGCTCCTGCCTTCCTTAGCAGACACCTGTCTTCTTCAAACCAAGACAACTACCACAAACAACTGACCTTGAGACAGAGCCTCCAAGACAATTTTATGTAGCAGCAAAAGCATTTTTGGGAGTAAGCCTTTCTGTTACAGACTAAACGCAGTTGCTTTCCAAGCAGTATCTAACTTGACAACACCTTGACAGTTTTTTAAACTCCTCCTCAGAATGATTCTTCTATCATACCCTACCTTTAATTTCCATTTTCTCTCTTTCTCTAGGCAAATAATTTTGTTATTTATTAGGTAGTGTCCACCACTAATACCTTCCTAAATGAGTGCATCAGTGCTCCCCTAAATCATCACAGAATCTTTGAAACCTATCCCTAAAAATACTGTCCTGTATGAATTAATCAATGAATCAAGTTTTTTAACACAAAAGTTCCACTGTTTTACTGTAAAAATTAAATTAAACACAACACACCCTAGATGTACTTAAAGCAGTACAAAAGTAATGCAGATGTAATTTTAAGTCATTACGGTACAGATGCGTACTTCTGTCTACTACATAAAAGTGATATAAAATAGCTGCACGAATGAATACTATCTTGTCAAAACTGTGCATCTGCTTTAGTAAAGCATGAACTGATCTGAAGAACCAGGACCACCTGAGTTTACAGAAGTACTTCTCTACCTGTTCTGTGCTCTCCTCAGTCTTCCTGAGTGGAAAAAAGTTTGGAGGAGAGGATACAAAAAAAAAAAAAAAATTAACATACACTAGGAAATGCAGGATGTATTATAAGGGTGGACTGTCTAATACTTATTCTTATTGTACTATTTTTCACATTACCTAAGAAAACATGAACATTTCCAGACATTGCAGAAATAACACTACAAACAAGACCACTGTTACTGCTCATTTTACAGCTTGATTTGCATTAGCCAACATAATTATAGTACACAGCCATGATAGACAGAATTTTGCTCCCAAAATTATTAATACTATGCAATATACATTATGCAGTTTGTTGTTACAAAAATAAAACACTGAAACTTACAGTATTCAATAAAATCCGTCTTAAAATCTTCTCTAGCGTTGACAAAGGCTTTTCCTCTCTCAGTGCCAACAACAAAAACATTTCTTGCATATACACCAATACAGGCAATTTCTGCCTTGGACTTGGAAAGTTCTTTACACTAGAAAAAGAAAAAGATTTTATTACCATAGTTAGATGCAGTTAATAAAAGTGTATGTGATATCATGTAAAACAATTACTATACTGCTGCCAGCATCCACCCTTCAGAAGGTACTGTGAGCAACATAACATCACCCAGCAGCAAAGCAAAATTTACACATCTGGAATGCTTTTCATCAGAAATCTTAAAAGCATTGTAGATTCATTAGCAACTTACGACCTTGTACAGACTCAGAGATTGCATTGTTTTTAATTAAAATTATTTATGACATTAATCCATGTTAAATTACCACTTCAATACAGTGTCCTATTCCAACTTTCAACAAAGCATACAGAAGTTTTGTATATTCACAGCACAATTCTCACACACCATCTTCTGTTCAGAAAGGTGCGGCTGCAAGCAGGATGGCTCCCTGTAGTCTGCCCTGTCCTGTCTGCTGGGCCCAGCCTCAGGTGAATGCCCCCTGAATGGAAGGATCGCACCATCCCTGCAAACATCTACATGTATTCTGCCAGGAGAAATTTCTGGCAACAATTAAGGCAGGAAGCCTATGGAGAGAACAAGGATCCCAAGAAAACTGTTGAGATGACCAAGTAATAATCACAGAAGGTCAGTCTCTCCTAGGAACTAAATAAGAGTTTACTACAACCTATAAAATCTAACAATTGCAGCACGGGAGGAAAAAGTGACACAAAGACTTTAAGAAACAATGGGATAAAAGACTTGCAATATATTGCCTTATAACTATTCCACTCGAAAATTCATTGCTAAAAAGAAAATTCTTGCTTATCATTTAAAAACCCCAATTTTAAAGAAACAAATCTTGGACAGTGCCTCAATTTCAAGGAAATGGGACAGGCATTTCCATTCACAGCCTCCAGCCAACTGTAAGCCCTGCCACACAATTTAATAACTTCTAAAAAAACAGATTATATGCCAACAAAAAGAAGTATTTTCTGAACAAGTTTTGTTGAGTTGGTACAGCAGCTGAAGACAAGGCATTAGCCTCAAAACCATTTATTCACTCTACACTACATATGACAAAGACCAGAACACACTCTTGCCTCTCAACTACGCTGTACCTAAGCAATCATCAAATATTTCCTATTTATTTGACAAAATAATTTTTAAAACAATCACACCACAACAAGAAACAAGATTACTGATAGCATGATTTATCACAAGCAAAGATAAAATTATAGCTGGTTGGACAACACACATTACGGTACAAATACAACAATCCATCTTCCCTGCTGCCCAGTGGGAAGCAACATACTGATACAATGCTGCAAATACCAAGACACGATTATGATGCAGAAACTTAACTTCTCTACTAACCATTGATTCAAGTCCTGACATGAGGAATGTAACCACCATTCTGCTTTCCAAGGATTCCTCATCATGGATGGATGTTGCTGGTGCAAGAGTTTGAGCCATTTTCCTCCTGTAAAATGAAAGGAAAAAGCCTTTTCAGATACATACAACAGTGCAAAAAACCAAAAACCCCTCTTACGCAAGCAAAGAAAAAAAAAAATTAAAAATCCCATAGAACACAGCCCACTACACACAAGCAACCAAACATACAGGTAAATTAACAGGAGAAAGTGCTTGCTCTTCTTTCGTGCTTCCTGCTGTTTCATCCAAAGCTGGAGCTAAACATAAGATAAAATGCTGTATCATGATCCAGCCACAAATTATCTGTGCCCAGAAAAATGCATTTTAATTGATTAGCTGAATTTACATTAATTTTTCTTTCTTAGTATGTCTAAATAGACACAGCAACAAACACTGCCATTAACAAACAAATGGCAAACTATAATTATGACACAGGTATGAGAACAACCTTCTATTATAACTATGACAGCCTAGCTCAAAACAAACAATCACCACCCTGCCCCAAAATCACAGCCTCAAAGACTACAGTATCAATAACCAGAATGTTACATTCTTATTTGCATATTTTTCAGTTGTGGGACTTACTCAAAGCTAAGTAGTCTCAACTAAGGTGCTAAAATTAACTACTAAATTTCAGCACCCCTTCTTTCTCTATGTCATTCAGGAGATTTTCAACTTACTTAAAACATAAGTAATAATCAAGATTTGTTTATGCTTCTGTTGTAGAATTGTTTATACAAGACTGATATATGAGAATGAAGTTTCAGCAGCTTCTAAGAGCACATTTTTTTATTGGAGTGTTGCAACTTCTTATGTTTACACATACCTAGAGCAATAACCTGACACACCTGCAGGAAGAAAGAACTGCTAGACAATTTAGCTCAACAACTCCACATGCAAATCAAGAAAAATCACCTCAACAGACAAGACGTATCAGGTAAACAAGACATTTCACAGGTTGATGACATATCTTGCTGCTCCTGTAGAACCTGGCCACACAATGTGGCTCAAGTTTTCAAAGCTGACACGTATCCTATTACATACATATGTAGATAAGTCAGGGCAGCACATTGCATGTGATAATGTGCTGTCTTTGGGGAAAAAAAGAAGGCATTGTGTTTTTTCTAGGACTTAGAGCACTTCAGGCTACAAATTGGATGAGAGCGGGGAAAAATCCTAAAGCCCAAATTATAAACAATGCAAACTCAAAACACATCTAGCAGCCTTCTGGCTCTCAGGCACAGGCCAGCAAACTGCAATTTGGATGAAGTGCACTATGGATGAAGTGGCAGGGAGTGGCACAGTCAGCAGGTGTTGGAGGATGCCAGTAATGAAGATGCTGAACACTGGCACCTGCTACACTGAGGAGGAGGCAAACAGGTCCTTCACCAGGTCTAAAAAAGGAGCCAACTTTGAGTGTGAATATAAAGGAACAATTGTTGTAATATGTTCATGGCTTCAGCAACCTGAGAGAGGGCTGATGCGGATGGATAGAGGCTGATGAGGTTATTCTTCAGAGGAAGAGAGGCATTGCTTATGGAATATCTGAGGTGAAAGGGAGATTACAACATAAATAAATCTTTAGTGAGCCATGACTTTTGATACATAATACAGTTCTCAAGCTCATCTTTGGCACTCCTTTAGGGTTGGGATGCTGACAGTGATTTTAAACATGACAGATTTTAGACTTTCTGTAAAATGACACTTTAATAATCACAGTATTAAAGATTAAATAGAAGATAACTACACATTTCCACCTTCTCCCAGATCTCTGTTCACTGTCTGATTTGCAAAGCTACCTTGTCCAGAAAACAGACCAAGGAAATTCTAGAAACCATTTGAAGGCTGTGGATGCATAATCACATCAGAGAAGTGCCAGTTCAAGCTGCCTCCCCATGCAGTATTGCTCCCATCCCTGGAAGGTGATTTCTGATCCTTAAGTGCAGAGTGGATCAAGCTAAGGAGCTTGTCCAAGGAATAAAGAAGTGTCCACTGGACTGGGTCACAGCCTCAGTACCTCAGAATCACATCTGGATACCATCCTGGGGTGACTTTATGATGCTTGTATCCCAATCATCTGTTCTGTTTATGCTGGATGTTAAGTTCAGCACTTTTAAAACTGGTTCCAAGAGCAAAGCGGGGCGGGGGGGGGGGAAGAAGCGCACAGTTTGTTTTCAGAAACTGCACTTGCTGCCCTGCATTCCTTCTCCTGGACTCTGCTGTCTGCAGCATGGACAGACAGCGGGAGAGAGCGCTCCTTTGCTTTTTAGTTAGTTGGTTTTTTTAGCTTGCTGAGGCAGTGAAGTCCCCTGGACTGTGGCTTATTGGGATATTGGGACACAATACAGATGATGGACTTTGGACCTGGTTAGCATAAGAGATTTGATAACAGGATGCCTTGGCAATAGCAAACAGAACTCTGAGGATTAAATCAACATTGCAAGAAGATTCAATCAGACTGACTTACCAGACAAAGAGAATTACATCAGACTTCTGCAAGCAAGAGATGGTGTAAAATGCCTAAGTTTGTTTATGTGATGATTATCCTAATCCTGATAGTAAAATATTACTTGCCTTCCTAAAATACCTTATAAGCATTTGTGTCCCACAATAAATTCAGATTCTTTGACCATCACACTCAGTCCCCATCTCCCTCTCTTCATTGTCAATAGTGGCTTTTCTTTTTCTTGGAACTGTACAAACCTACTCTGGACTAAAAACCCAGAAGAGCACTGGGAGATCACATGTGGCCCACCAGGGCCAGGACACGGCATTTTCCAGCACAGGAGGGACTGATAAGAGACTGAGCAAGCTGAGCTACCCTCACAACAAGGACTTTCTGAATTTTCCATCTCTTCAGAACAGCGAGAGGTTTGATTGTTTAATATTATTCACTTTTTCTGCTTCTGAATACTTTGCTTGTTAAATAAACAGTTTTTTCCACTTTTCTCCAAGGAAATCTCTTCCTGAACCAGTAGCAGGAGGGGCTTGAGTCTGCTTTCTGGAGGGATCCTTTGGCGCTTCCTCCTAAATTTGCCCTAAAACAGGACAAATACATTTTTTGGCGCCCAACGTGGGGCTCATGAAAGTGGAAATAGCATGTACTAATTGCATTTTGGTTGCATTTATTCTATATTGGAATAAAGCATACAATAGTCATATTGCTTGAATTGATAATGTTTCTCTGGGTGGAGGCCTTCATGTGACTCTGGTCCCCACTTTTTTGAGTTTTTAATACCTTTCTGGCCCCTAGGTTTATTTTCTTATCCGGAGATAGGTCCAGTATTGTCCCTAAAACATAGTTTTTACAATAGAGAGGCAGGGATTAAAATAGCTATTTTGCTTGGCATGGTGATAATGACTTATAGGGGGTTTAGAAAAGTACTGGAGTTTGTTCCAGATATATATGGTTTATGGTTTCTTTGTCCTACCCTGTGTCCCAGTTCCAGTAGCATGTTTTGGGGGTTTATCAGTAATTGCACCCTGTTTGTTAGAGGAGGAGCAGGGGATGAGGCTTTTCAACCTTTCCTTTCCTTCTTCTCCTTTGAATTGGTTATGTCACTATTTGAGAAAGTTCAGATTCCTCTGAATGTTAAAGAGACCACTTTCCTGGTGTTTTATCTGGTAAGCTTCCTCGGTATGGTCTGCAGCTTGTCTAGAATGAGGGTTGAAATATCCATAGGAATTGATGAAATTCCTGACCCAGGAGTAGACCCAGGCATGAAAAATCTTGAGTGGCATGGAGAATGGGAGGATATGGGCCAAACCCAGAAGAATTTTCTGACCCTAGAGCCTGGGACTTTCCATGTGAACAAATAAGAACCCAGCTGAGGTGGGGAAATACCTGAAAGAGAACTGCAATGATGACTAAGAAAACGCTTATTGCAATAAGCTGGGCCCTGGCCTCTCCTAACGCACACTACTAGGTACTGTAGGGAAGCACACAGAGGCAGGGGGGCAGGGAGATAAATCAGCAGCTACCCCAGTCACTCAGGCTGCAGCCAGCACCCCAGCTACTCAGGTTTGTACATCTCACAGTAACCATTTTTTAGAAATACACCTCTCATGGGGGCACTGGCACTGTGCCAGTATCGATCCATGACAGCTGCAGCCAGCACCCCAGCTACTCAGGTTTGTAGCTAAACCAGACAGTAAGCCTAAGCCACTGGCAGTTTGGTTTGTAGCTAAACCAGTGAGCCTAAGCCACTGGCAATTGCTGCTGCAGGAAAGAAGCACAAAAACAAAACCAATCAACAAGTGGATAATTTTCTTGGGAGGAGAGTCAGGTACCATTTTCCCTTTGCCTCCCTACATGTGGTGACCCGTGGCAGGTGCCATTTTGGAAAGGGTATTTCTGCCATTTTGGGTGTCTCTGTTCCCCAGGAGTTGGTGAGATTTAGGAATTTTGTAGCTTATGATTATTTACTGTTATTTTTTTGCCTATTCCTCGTTACCAAACTGTTGTTTTCCCACTTATTTCTGCTCATATGCATTTTCTCCTTATTGCTAAAAAGGGATTGGTTGAAACTAAGGGGAGGTAACTCATTTAGAGTGTCTACCTTTTAAAATTGTCTTCAAACAAGATACCAGGACTCCATGCCATCTAACAGATGAAAAGCAAATGCCATCACTCTGAATGTCCACCCCTCCCTTCTTCCCCCTGCTCTGTATGCTGAGGGTGACACCATACCCTCTGGGGTGGCCCTGGGGTCAGCTGTCCCAGCTGTGTCCTCCTCAACTTCTTGTGCACCAAAAGACAAAACTCGTGGGCAAAGAGAGTTTAATAGTGAAAGCAAAAGCCACATGGACAAGAAAAGCAAACCAAACCAAGGAATTCATTCCCACTTCCCATCTCAGGCAAATGTTTGGGCATCCCCAGGACAGCAGGGTTCCATCTTGTCTAAAGGTGACTTGGAAAAGCAAATGCCATCACTCTGAATGTCCACCCCTCCCTTCTTCCCCCTGCTCTGTATGCTGAGGGTGACACCATACCCTCTGGGGTGGCCCTGGGGTCAGCTGTCCCAGCTGTGTCCTCCTCAACTTCTTGTG